ATCCTCAAAATCTTGCGTCATCAAAACCGGTTTTTTATTATTTTAAAAAGTAACGAAATTAAATTTCAAAAATCTAAAAAACAGATAAATGAGTAGTTTTTATTAGTTACTCAAAACCATAAATTGCATAATATTATAGAAAGACATTTTTTAAAAGAAAATCTATAAAAATTACCAAGTATTATTTCTCTCATCTAATAAAGTGACCCTTTTATTTTTTATCTTTTCAGAAAGATATAGTGATGCTCATTGATACTAGATCAAAATTTTGTTTAGTACAAAAGGAAAAAAAATTCACGGAAAAGAAAATAATAAATTTAGCCAAAAATTAAAGATGCCGAAAGTAGAAGCCTCGAATTAATAAGACCACTATCAAAATCGGTGCAATTTTAAAGAAAAAGACATAATTTAAAATTTTTAAGTAATTGTATTCAAAATTCATTGTGAAAACACCTAATGTACCATTTGTAAATTTTAAATTTAATTAAACCTACATTTTATTAATATCTGCTCAATTTCAATAATCTAAGAAAGAATATAAACTATATTTTGTGAAACTACGAACAATTTCAACTATATTTTGCGAAAGTGATAAAAAAAAAAGATCCACAATGGTCTCGGGAGGATACAGGATGGAATATTTGAGGTGGTATGAACTCTTCACAATATGCTATATGATTATCTGATACAGTTTGGATCTTTATAAAGGTAGTGCTATTACTAAGTGGACATTTCAGAAGGAATAGTGCCTTTTGCCATACATCTAAATTTACTCAGAAATGTTTTGGGGAAAAAATTTAACTGTTTTTGTAACATAAAATCTATTTGAAATTCGTGGAAGATCTTATGGGCACAAAGTTCATATAATTGTTAAACTATTTCTATCTACCAATGAGCTAGAATAAAAAGCATAAAAAAATGACAAATAATTTCTGAACTTAACCACATCCTGATATTTCAATGAAAACAAAAGTGTTTCAGGTCATGAGTAGAAGTGAAGGACCCAATATCATTTTAATTTTTATGTTCTTACTATTTTCAGACAAGTGTTGGATTTCTGAACCTCAAATTAAAGGGGTAGCTAAAATCTATCATATATATGGTTTCAATAATTTTGTGAGGAAAGAGGAAGAAAGTCATTGCAAACTTTACTTTTTGCCATTTTCGCCATATTTCGAAACATATTTAAGTAAATCAAAACATTTTTGCACATAATTATAATAGCAAATACAAAATCGATAAAGCAGTTTTTGAGTAATAACATTTAAAAGATAGTAAAATGCAAAATAGATGGAACAGTTTTCGAGTAATAACATTTAAAAGAAGTCGTAAAGTAAAAAACTGATTTTCAAGAACCATTTGACCAATTCTTAAAATTTGTTTTGTCATTTAAAATTGCATTCTTTAAAATAACGTATTTAATTATAAACCTTAAAATTTTTAAAAAATATTCTTTTTTTCTATTTTGATAAACAAAAAAATTTTTGATTCATGCAAAAACTTCTTGAGATATGGCAGAAGACACAAAAAGTTAAACTAGCATTAAGGGGTCCAAACATTCAAACACTCTCTTAAAAAAAATTATTAAGACCATACTTTCTAAAATATGGCAAGATTCCAGTTTTTTTTTTTGTTTTTTTTTAAGTTTTAATATTCTAAATATGTTGGAGTTTTAATATTCTAAATATATATCAAATGTTGAATTCAATACAAGACTTAGTCTTATAGTCTTGTATTGAATTCAACATTTGACTCAGCATGAAAAACTACATGGAACAGAACTTCACTTGCCTAGATAGAAATGTGAAGTACATAAATAAGTGCCAGTTTAACACTGTGCTTTCCTAATGTAAAAAATAACTAAACATGAAAAATAACCTAGTTGTCATACTAGCAAGGGAAAATTTTTGTTGGAAGAGCAATCAGCAGGTAATGAAGGAAAACAATTCTTTCATACAAAGGGAAAACACTGTTACACTTTAACACAATTTCTAAAATGTTATTTGGAATTTTATACACCGCTTAAACCTATTGTCTTAAATGAACAGTATTGTTCAATACTATAAGAATAGTATAGATTTTGTTATAGAGGCTGAGAGTAGATATTTTTCTTCCCATGAATTCCGAGCTTGACATGCAAGATTGAACAACTTGTTACCACTTGATAAGAGTGACTTAACAATTTTGATTAATTATTTTTCTTTCTTTTTTTAAATGTTCTAAGGTTAAAATTTTATTATCATACCACTTGATGATTTAAAAAAAAAAATTTTTTTTTGATGGCTTCCAATTTATGTTGTCCCCAAAATTAAAATCGCAAGCTATCTAGATGATGAAACTGACATATTAGATAATTTCATGTATCAAAAATTAAACCCAATATTTAAAAATTATGCTCGCTAAAACAACCTCATTCTTTGTTTTAACTACTTACTCTGATTCAATGAACACTTTATAACGTCAACATTTTCCTTTCATTTATTGATTATGATCTGTATAACTTGAATTTTATAAATAAAGAGGAGTTTGCCATCTACAGATTTTATGATTATTTTCATAGTGATATCCCCTTACACTACCTAATTATGAACGGGTTGGCTTATTTTATCAAACTTAAAATAACTCTAAACTGTAAGTATCCAAATATTTGAATGTCAGGAATACACACTGAAAATTGTCCTTTGAAAAATAGTCCATTGGCTGAAAATTTTGAGAAGCCATACACTATATATATACATAAAAATGAAATTTTTCCTTGTAAAACAATATCCCAATTTAAAAAATAATCAATGCTAAGAAAATTTCAGTAATTTTTTTTTCTCCCCACAACAGTACTCTATTTAATTTAAATGTTTGATTTATTTAATATTGTGTTAGATTAGATATTATTTAATATTTTGACTTTCCATAACTAAAATTATTTCATATAACTTTTAAGAGAATTTTTTTTAATTCTAAAAATAGCTTCTCATAGATCTGGACTATTTTACAATTTACTTTTTTATTAAAAAATTTTGATAAATGTAATGTAAATTATTGTTTTTAAGAGAGAGATTTGCCAGAAGCTTGGTAGCTTTTTAGATTTGCAAGCACTTGAAGGTGCAATAGTATCCCAATTACTATTAGCTAGGTTACTGTATTTGTTTACATCCAGCACAGGCCCCAAAGAACTTAAAGCTTCTAAATTTAAAAAATAAAATAAAAAATACATCAAAATTTGATGAGGATTGCTGTGAGTTATACTGGTTAAGTTTCGAACAACGAGAAATTGTCAAAACCAAGGGATTATTAGGGCAAAAGTAATGACACAGAAATTTTCTCTACGGTTGGACTAGATCAGTCAAATTTCCTTTATAAATAGAAAAACAAGCAAGGTTGGATATAAACCGTTTGAAACTATTTATTTCCCAGTTTCAAACGTTATTATCAGAAATATATATATAACCTAGATATAAAGGATGAAACATAATATAGAAAATCAAGAATTTATATTATGTTTTACCATATAATATGATTCATCCAGGAATTGTGTTATAACATAAAACATCAAGAAGCGCTGCTTTGTTGCATGCAGGATATCACCTCATAGAACCTTACAAATAACAGTAAATAAACTCAATATCTTATAGGAACCATTAACAACAAGAAATAAATCTTTATAAAACTATTATTTTAAGACAACAGATCTTGAATGAACACAGTGGCACTTGCCTCTATGTTCATTGGTTCCAATTTAGTAAACAATCCATTTTAAATGTTATTTTGCATGCTACCCTCCAACATCTCTCTTATACTAGTTAATCACTTCCAAACCAGCTTACAAATAGTTGGCTAATGTGCAAGTTGAGAGTTCAAGTGGAATGATCTGCAGGAAAATCTATTTACCTTCGAAGAATAAAATTACAAAGCATATTTACAGGAGCAAAACTAAATCATGTTGGATTTCAATTGTAGTTGAAAATTCAAATTGCAGTTTAAAAATGAACACGTATTCAAATATTAAAGTCTGCTGAGAAAAAAAAAGAAGTTTGTTACTAACAGGAAAACATTGCATTATGAAGACGAAAGTATAATCATAGTTTCTTTAAGGAATAAGGTTAAAAAGCATAAAAATCATTCTTCAGTTGATAGAATAAACTAATTGAATGAGAAACATACATGAACTGACGGTAAATATTTCATTAATTCGTATGAAAGTGAATATAAGTTGTAATACAGGAATTATTTGAAGGTTGAGACAGGCAGGACGATTATATTAAAGCGTTAATATTTGAAATATGAATTTGATAAAATATATACTTTATTGTTAGTGTGCAGTATACGGTAGCATGATTCTAATTATAATTAAATGACACTTAATTTAAAATATTGAAATCTGTCTTTTAAAATGCCAATGACCCAATAAAAACCGCTATTATGGAATAAGACATACCCCACTTTTGATTGCTTTTGAGGTAGATATTCTTCTATGGAATGATTTAGTCGAGCTGGGTTCTCCATCACTTTCTGAACTTTCATCTGTTACAGTTTCTGAAAATTTTTCGGATAAATTTTCTGCACATACCGTCCCCGTCGCCATCTTCCATCCCTACTGTTCAAAAACAGTGACAGGAATGAAATTTCACCCAACAGATGGCATGCTATATTCAATCAAAATGTCGTCTGCTGAAAAAGTTTTGTTTCTGAATCGACAATTTATCATAATTTTTCAAACAATTATAAAGATTTTTAAAATTGATGTAAAATAATGTTATCTTTTGTAAAAGACAAATATCTGCTCTTTTAGTTTTGAGAATAAAAGGGTTAATATATTAACCTAAAAGAGAGAAAAATCAACGATGATTTTGAATCGAAACAAAAACTAATCAGAATGATGGCTTGAATCAGTTTTGAAATTTGCCAATAAAATCAATGTAAAAATAAATAGAATGTATAAATTCAACGTAAAAATTTAGTTCACTATACTAGAAATAAAAGGAAGTTTAAATAAATATTGCGATAACATTATTCCTTGTCTTTTTTTTATTCGGTTATAAATAATCGTTATCGAATGCAACGTGTTATTATGTTTTTAGAAATTCATTACTTTTAGGAGTTTTAAAAAGAATTTTACTGACTAGTGACTCGTGAGTATGATTTTTTTAATACTTCTGCACTTTTATCTAACAGCGATTACCTATTATTTTACAATTTTTTAAATTTTATATTTTTCACCCTTGATTACGCTTTAAATTATTGGCATTGTTTTTTAGTATTTTAGATGACCTAATTGTTAATTATACCTTCGTTTTTCCATTTAAACTGATTCTAAGCTTTTTCTACATCTACAGCATTATTAATGTTTATGAGAAATTCGGTTGTCATCCTCGCTCATGATTCTTGAGTCATTCATTGTTTATGTAAGTAGAGCTGAGCGACGCGGCGGACATCTTGGTTGGAGTCTATAGTGGTGGCATCAGGTGAGGTGCTTGTTGTTGGGGAACTGAAACTTTGAAGCGATATTTCTATTTAAAAAGTTATTCAATGGAATTTAATATGATGTCTGATCAAATGTCAATGATGGGACCTACTCCAATGACTTGTTTATATTGTAATTGTAAGGAATCCTCTCCTGAATTTGCTCGTGAAAGAGAATTGTGCTTACAGTGTTTTGAAAAATGGAATGAAACGGAACAAACCGAATTTGTTGAATTACTTTTGACTAAAATGCTCCATCATCAACACAGTCATGTAAGTTCATTTTTACGCCCCATGCTTCGACGAGACTTTATTTCTCTTCTACCCAAAAAAGGCTTAGATCACGTTGCTGAAAATATATTGTCCTACTTAGACGCTAAATCGTTATGCGCTGCAGAACTTGTATGTAAAGAATGGTATCAAGTAATTTCTGAAGGTATGTTATGGAAAAAATTAATTGAAAGACGTGTTCGTACGGACACTTTGTGGAAAGGGCTAATGGAAAGGCGAGGCTGGATCAAATTTCTGTTCAAACCACCTCCAGGTGAACATCATCCCGATCATATGTTTTATAGACGTCTCTATCCCAAAATAATTCAAGATATTGATAATATAGAAAATAATTGGAGATGTGGGCGCCATACATTAAAAAGAATCAATTGTCAAAGTGAAAACAGCAAAGGAGTATATTGTGTACAGTATGATGACCATAAAATTGTTAGTGGTCTACGTGATAATACAATCAAAATATGGGACCGACATACTTTAGAGTGCACTAAAATTCTTACAGGCCACACTGGTTCTGTTTTATGCCTTCAGTATGATGATAGAGTTATTATAAGTGGCTCCAGTGATTCCACTGTTCGTGTATGGGATGTTAAGACTGGAGAACTTATCAATACTCTCATTCACCACTGTGAAGCAGTTCTCCATTTGCGTTTCAATAATGGAATGATGGTCACTTGTTCCAAAGATCGGTCAATCACTGTGTGGACAATGGCATCTCCAACAGAAATTACTATCCAGAGGGTACTTGTAGGTCATCGTGCTGCTGTTAATGTTGTAGATTTTGATGAGAAATATATAGTGTCTGCTTCAGGTGACAGGACAATTAAAGTATGGAATACATCTACCTGTGAATTTGTTCGAACATTAAACGGACATAAGAGAGGTATTGCCTGTTTACAATACCGAGATAGACTCGTCGTTAGTGGCAGTTCTGATAATACCATAAGACTCTGGGACATTGAAAGTGGTGCTTGTCTAAGAACTCTAGAAGGTCATAAAGAACTTGTGAGGTGTATACAATTTGATAATAAAAGAATTGTGAGTGGTGCTTATGATGGCAAGATCAAAGTCTGGGATCTTGATGCTGCTTTAGATCCAAGGGCCCCTGCTGGTTCTTTGTGTCTACGTACTTCTGTAGAACATTCAGGGCGAGTGTTCCGTCTCCAGTTTGATGATTTCCAAATTGTTAGTAGTTCACACGATGATACAATATTAATTTGGGATTTCCTCAATGGTACTCCTCCTGAAACTCCAGTTTTAACTCTTAGATCGCCGTCTCGCACTTATACTTATGTTTCAAAATAAACTTTTTTTTCATTATGTGATATTAAGCATATTTAAAGTAACACTGGTGCACAATTGATTTGCTTCAACTAAGATATTAAGAGAGACAAAGCTGGTGATATAAGACTTCTTTTATTGACAGTTCAGAGAAAAAAAATAGTTCCTTTATATTGTAGATGGCACTAAACATTTGTTTTAGACAGTTTATTTTAGCTGTTATGTTCTAAGCCATTGACATTATGTTAGTTTATAACTTTTGGACTTCTTCAAATTATTTCATTGCTGTAATTAAGGTCTAGATATATACTGGGTTTTTTTTTTCCTTGGGTACTAGCTAATGTATAAAAATTATATTCAAACACTGCCTGTATGATATTTAATTAAAATTTTCTGATACTTAATTTTTTTGTGGATGCTAATGCAATAATATCAAATATAGTACTGTGTGAATAAAGTTTACATATTTAATTAATTTATAAACTTTCTGATATCTCTTTGTAATACATTCCCTTTCCTGTATATATTTTAAGTATGCTTTGCTTGTTTGGGTCGTATGAACTCTTACTATAGCACAGTGTACAGTAAAATTTTGTATCGCAGGTGTCAGGGATGCACCAAATAAGGGTTTTAGCTGAATATATTAGGTATGTGATGTTAAATTAAAAATTTCTGTCTAAGAATGAATTTATTTTAAAATTTATTTATCAAAAATTTTGATTTCAATCAAATGTTTTCTATCTTAAATCTTACATTATTTCTTTATTATAAGTTCATGAGACATCTAATTGTAGTAATGTATCTTCATTATCTATTTATCAAACAACTATAATTATTGTAGTATTTAATTATTTATGAAGTTTTTTAATTTAAATCAGCGAAGATATATATATATCTACTGTTACATTTTACTGTTTTGTTAGTTTCATATCATTAATTGAAATCTAATTCTAATAAATCTCAACTCTTTTAATTTTCTTATTTCAAGCTATATTGCCATTTAATTATTTAAGTAATAAGACTTCAAAATTTGGTAAAAATTTAAATCAAATTTTGTTATAGATTATTTTAAAAAAGTTATACATAAAATATAATTTTTATTTGCTAAAAACTGAATATTCTGTGCATTCCTATTGTGTAATGTAAATATTTCTTATAGTAATTAATGAACAGCTAATGAATAAATAAAGATATTGCTTTCAGACATTTGTTTTATTGTATTTTTTGTGTGGAGAATTTTAGAAAATATTTGTTTTTTAATTGGTTCATTTTTATTATGTATGGGTTTGATTTATTTAAATACTTGCTACCTTATAAAATTACAGTTGTATTTTCTTGTAGTGTCATAAAGCCAAGCCTAAAACCTGACACATAACCACTTTGACTTGGGTGCATTTTCACTGTGTCCATGATTTTAACCTTGTCTATCTGAATTTAGTTAGTTTCTTCCTTTAGATATATTTTGCATTTTTTATACCATTAAGTTTCATTTGATTGAATTTTTATTGATAATAAATTATTAAATGATTATTAAGTAGTGGAGGTTTCCAAAGTTATTGAATGTGTAATTTGATTGTTTAATATGTTAAAAAATGTAAATAGCAATTACAATACAGAATCTATAGTATACAACCTACCTCTCTCTACTAGTAGAAAAATAATAGGAAAAGAATATATATAACAAAACTAGATAATTCAATATTAAAACAGTGAAATTAAATATTATTCAATTGTCAATATATATAAATATTTTATCTTTTTGAATTTTTCTCCTTAAAATAAAATCATGCACAGTTTAAACATTAAAACATATCAGTTATAAGAAATCGGTGATGTTTTTACAAGTTATTTCAACTCTAACATTGGTGATAGTGTATACTATGGTGAAGTTGTACAATATTTATTTTATTCAAAAATATTGAGGGTAATATTTGAGTTGTAAAGGAAGGACTGCTTTGCAAAATTATGTTTAGTTATCAGGAATGGAGACAGAAATTAAATTTAAAATAAATATAAACTGAAATGTATTATGAGTACAAAGAGAAATGTATTATGATCTATTACAATGCATAACAATCAGAATTCAATACAAACTTAGCACCAAAAATTTACATTTTTATTGCTTTAGATCAACATTATGTTCTGGCAAAATTTGTGACAATACGTGTTTTTCATTACAATCTAGTCACCATATAAATTTTGCTAGATCGATGACTTTTGTCAACCAGAATTTGGCATCATTCCCACATGTAGATGAACTTTGCTTCTTGGCCCCTATAACTAGAAATTATTTAAAGATTTATTTTAAAAAAATGTTTTATCTAGGAATACTTAGGCCTTGTGTATAAATTATTTTTGCTTTCTCTAAAAAACCATTTTTTCTTATTAAACTAAAAAAATAATTAAGTTATTTATTCATTGTAGGCCTCCAAAGATAAATCGGTTTATTGCATTGGTTTTCTTTTGCAATGTTGTGTGCAATTAATATAAGTTGCATATAGAGAATAATTAACATTTTAAGAACTGTTTCTTAGTCGTATTAAACACTTGCACTCTTTAATAAAATTTTCGCAAGTCATTGTTAATTACAAATGCTATACAGTTATTTTCTTTCCAATTAATTTGACAATTTTATAAAGATCTATATGCTAAATCAAAAATGTTTCAAATTCAATTTTTGAAGATTTCTAAATCAGAAACATTTCAAATTCAATTTTTAAAGAAGATTGATTGCTGTTTTTGCATTTACTTTTACAGACACTTATATTTTAAGAAAATCAGGGGTCTGTCCAGACATTTTGTGAAAGGTCCATTTTTCGTGAAATTGTGAAAAAATTACTCACATTCTTTCAATCAGGGTCCGCTTTTATGAATTTGTGCAAATAGGGTCCGTTATTGCAAAAAAAAAAACTTTTTCAAGGAGTTTTTAAATTGTAAAGACATACAAGATTATGCTCAACACTGTAAAATTATAATTAAAAAAATTAAATTTTAAAAAATAAACAACAATTGCTGCTTCTAAATTAGAGATGCAACATACAAATATTTGGTATTTAGCCTATACTGCTGAACGCAGAATATTAATTTCGGACGAATAATGGAAGAATCGTCTGCCGAAGACAAAACTTAATTCGTTTACATCCATCTTTCTTATTTTCTGCCCTTGAAAGGGTTTATTCAATTAACAAAATAATAATGAAGATAAACAAATTTGTGAAGGGTACGATTAAAAGAAAAATCATTTTGTGAAGGGTCCGTTTTTAAGTTAAAATATTTTGTGAAGGGTCCGTTTTTTGAAAAGATATTTTGTGAAGGGTCCATTAACGGACCCAAATTTCTTCTAAACAGACCCCTGAAAATATAAACTAAATATTTAAAGTTATTTATTTTTTTTGTGTGTGTGTGCAGGATTTTTTTTTAGAAATAATGAGAGTTTAGAAACTTTTAATCAAACTATAAAATAGTGTAATAAAACATCTTAAATTGAAACATTTTTCAAAAGGTACCTTACTGTTGGATTGTGAAGATTGAATTAGGTAGAGTATATGAATTAAGAAATACATAGTTAATACAGGTTTTAATTACAAGTTTTTCCATTAGGAAGTAGGAAAAGCATGAAACAAGTAAAATGTGTTACACTTGCATTCTCATTCAGAAGTGTGTATTTTTGATGCAAAGGTTTAGCCTGCAGTGAAGCTGCTTTTAAAGAATAAGGCTCATAACCACATTTAAAGCATGAATTTTATTTTCTCTGACTTTAAACCTTTTATTGCTTCAACTTTAAAAAAAAAAAAAAAAACAGCATTGCATTGATATTAAAATCTTGTTTTCTACTATTTTCAATGGCATTTAGAATTAGATTTGCCAATTTCAACACTATATCTCTAACTACCAAGAATCTAGAGTTCTGCAACACTCCAATTTAAGTGCAGAAAAACTGTATCAGTATTTGTGCTCATTTTTGGTGACATCTGGACAGTAACACTTGCATAATTTTTAAAAAAAGGCATTTGGGCAGTTGCTCAAAACATGAGTAGCTATTAAGAAGTATATAATTTATTTTCTTTTTTACATTAATTGCAAGTTCTGAAATTTGAATGTGGGACCTAGAGGCCTTGTTTACTGTAGTTTGCTCTAACTGATTCCGAAATGGGAACCCTTGATTTGAGGCTTCATTGTAAAACAATCAAAAGTCACTTTTTTTGATTTTTATAATTTAAAGTAACACTAAACATTTCAAAACTATTTTTATCATCTTTATATGTATATAAAGACATTGTTTTTTTATTGTTTCGCTTGAATTTTTTTAGATTTTCAACATTTAACTAAATTGAATATAATGTACTGATCTTAATGTGTCAGATTTTATGCTGTGTACAAAGTTTTTTTAAGACTTTAAAACACAATTTCTCATTTGCATTTCTGGCTTGTCATTGTGCCTATATAGATAAGCGTATTTATTGAGCTCAACTTAAAATTTTGTAAGCTCCTTCTGTATTTAGCGTTTAAATTACAAAATATGTTGGAGCAAGAATGCAAAAACTTTTACTTTGTGGCCTACAAAAATTAGGAAATATTTCAATACTTGGGGGAAATGTAAATTTCTCATGAATGAAGAGAATTATTTTGGTAAAAGGTATTCCCAATTGCCTATTAAAATAACACTAGTTCTTTTATTTTTAAAGAAAATTTGAAGGTTATTTTAACTGATAAAAGTGTTGACTATTTGGATAAGTTTGTGTACTTTCTTTTTCAGCAAGGAAAAAAAAGTTTTAACACTGTCAGTTGAAAAGAATTATATAAGACAGTAAAATAATCATTTATTTAAAAGACATAATTTAGATTTTAAAGAGTGCTTATCTTACTTTTGGTAAATATGCTAAAAATTTTAAGTTAAGAGACATAATTAGAAAAATCCTTCATATTTTAAAGAGAGCTTGTCTTTCTTCTCGTTAATATGTTATGAATTTTAAATCAGACTTAAAAGAACAAATTAGTAGAAAACCCTCTGTCTTTTGATGTTACTTCATTTAAAAAAATAGTTGTAGTTTAGAACTAAATTTGGATTAAAGCAGCTGTAAATAACTACAAATGACATTTATCCATACTACACCAGGCTGGCATTCAATTGAGAGTTCATCAAACATTTGCCAGTTCTTCCAAGTTAACATATATAGTTTATTTTAGTAAGTCTTCACCATTTTAAACAGATTAAAATTTTGTGCTGTAGTTTTGTAGACTTAGTGTAGGCTGAATTTATAGCGAACTCGTTTTTGATAAGCCCCGATTTAACGAAGAAATTATAAATACATAGTTTATACAATGTTAAGTTTAATGGAGCATAGCTTGCTTTTATTGCGTAAGCATTGGATTTAGTGAGCAACATTTTTGTGATTTATAAGATTTCTACTTTCTCCCACCTCACCAGCTCAAGTAATCCTTTCTTGGAAATGTCTTTTGGGATTGTGAGTCTTATCTGAAGAATAATTCCACAACAAAGAGACAGTTAGACATTTCAAACCAAATTAACTAACTTCTTTTGTAGTATGCAGAAATAAAAAAGCAAATGAAGTAAAAACAAAATTTGTAAGTATGTATGAACTTATATGATTTATTTCATTAACCCGTTTTTTGCGAGCACTCAGCTGTAACTGGCGAATATCGTGGTCGCTTTATGCTGATTGTTAGATGAGGGAGTTCAACTGTAATCAAATATATTGAAAATAGGAAAGTATATCATTATAAATTACTGACACAAACTGGCTAAAAAAGAAATCTCAAAATTAATTTCTCAGACCTTTTTAAAAAGAAAGACATATATCAAAAAAGACAAAATACATTGTGTTACCATATACCTTAACAAACCTGCAATTTCAGAAATCATTATACGTAAATTACCTAATTGACCCATTAATTAAAAAGAAAAATCACACCAAAAAGAATTCTGAAAACAAGAAATCTGAATTTATTCTTAAACAGCTTTTTAATGCCATATTTTTGGATTATTTCCATTTAATATGGTAGCTTTAGGATTCAGAAATAAATTTGCAATAATAGTTTAAAGCATTGGTTTTGGTGGAAGTGGGAATCGGAGGATTTTCAATACCATCATGTTTTTTGCAAGAAAATCCTTTTTCAATAACAATTTTTCAGTTGTAAAATGTAAAAAAAAAAATTTATCACATTTTCAGTTTGGTCTCTGAAAAATCCAAAACAAGTAGTTTAATCCAAAATTTAAGGGAAAATGTAATTTAAAAAGTGCTGTAATTTATTACATTCCTGGTACAAATGTAGTTTTACTAATTCTAATTTATTTATTGAATACAGCAATATATATATCTGCTATAAATTTTAAAAATATGAAAATCAATAAAAATTCTATATCTTTATTATTTCTTTCATAATATTTTATTTAACTAAAGATATTTTTTTGAAAAAAATCAAATTATTTAAATCATTATTAAAGATGCAATTTAAATCATTTGATTTAAACCAATGATTTTTTAAAGTAAGAATCAGTTTATTTGAATCAACAAACTCTGTTTTAAAATGACTAAATTTTCTGATATTAATTTAATTCTTAACTTGCGATTTTACTATAAACAATTAAAAGAGACACAGATAAATATTTATAAATGATTTATTTATTTAATTCCTTCCCTCTATTTAATAATTTTTAAAAATTGCATTGCCATTCTAAATAAGAAGTTAACTGACCAACAGACCTTTGGCAATAATTTATTTCAGATGTAGTAAAAGACTTTTTTTTTGTTTTGCTATATGTTAGGTTATCAAGAATTTCAGAAAAAACTAGCTAATTAAAATCAAATTTCAACATCTGAAATTAAAAATGCAAAATGGTATTTTGAATGTGTCTGTGTTGTAATCGTGAAAATGTAGATATGGAAGATCTGAGGCACAGGCATAGCTTTAATTTACAGTACCTAAAGACAAACTAAATTCGATGTGGGACTTACGGGCCATTTTGATTTTTCAAATTTTGTAATTCTCATGCGATACTGTTTAAAAAGTGTTTCATTAATAAGTTTCTATTATATTTAGATGTTTTTGATGGCATTTATTGTTTTTGATTTATTGAATGATCAGGATTTATTTTAACGACTTATTTCATTCAATTTGTTATAAATAGTTAAATAAAAAAGAAAGGAACTTATTTTCAATGTAAACTACCAAAATAATAATGAACAATATTTAGGTAAATGCAATAAAAATTTGACGAAGTTATGGGGCCCATAATCAGCAAGTGAAATGTGGGATATTAAAAAAATAAACATCCTATTCTGAAATTCTTTTTTTTTTTAAATTTATTTTTATTAATTTTACGACCCTATACGGCTGTGACCAGGGACAGAGGTCTGCTCGTGCCTCCCGCTAGCTATGCCACTGCTCTAAGATAATGATTTTAATAAAAGAGTGAAGAATAAATCTTTCGTAAATGATAGTTTTCTAAATTTATAGTTTCTTATTATAGTTCCTCTTTTGAGCAGTGATGGCTCAGGGGATGGAACATTCGCCTTCTGATGAGGGCAACCGGGTTCGATCCCAGCGATGGCTGATCAATACTAATTCTGCATCTGGTTTGCACTGACCACAGTGCTGATGTAAAATATTCTCGGTGGTAGACAGATCATGGGTTAGAGTCCCTTTGCCGTCAAGCTAACCGTAGGAGGTTTTTGTGGTTTCTCTGTGTAACGCAAATGCAGGTTAGTTCCATCAAAAAGTCCTCCATAAAGGCAAAATTTCTCCCAATTCTTGATTCAGGAGTTCCCTGGTCTTCTAGATTGGGCTCAAAATTACAAGGCTAGGGAGTTCATTTGTAGTCGTAAACCCAAAATTGGGTCAACTATGGTTATAAAATAAATATACTTCCTCTTATTCCTCATGATAGATTTGTTATTAAATATAGTGTTATGGAATAATTTAAAGTTTTTTTTTCCTATAACATGGCTAAGGAAAAGGAGAATATTTTAAGGGAATAAATAGCAATGATAATATTATGAATATTTTAAGTCAAGCTTTTTTTATTAATTTTTGCCTGATTATTAAATGTATGTGTTAAAAATTTACTATAAAATAGTTACTTTATCGGTTAACAAGGAAACTCAACTACATATTTTTTTTAATATTTAAAAAAAATTTGGCAGTGGCTTATATTTTTTGGTTTACGGTAATTTTTTTTACTTTTCGCTTGCGCTCAACTTATTGAAAAGTACCAAAGTAAAAAAGAAAAAAATATTGTATAAATCGTACACAAATTTGGAAAATTCTTTGACAAAAACTCAGTAAGAATAAATTGAAATTTCTGGAAAATAGAAAATAATAACTAATTAGGGTATGCTGTGAAGCAAAAATTAGCATTTCCTGTGTAATTATTATTCCCTATATAATTATTTTTATTATTTTTCCCAAATTTGAATAAATATACAGTATAAGATATTTTATTGTTATTATATTCAACAGTGTCTCCTTAAGCGGTTTTAAAAGAGCAGCCCAATCCGTCTGCCCTTTTATAACTATAAATGAGCCCTCCTTGCCCTTTTTATAAAAATAAGTTACCATTCCTTAAGAGCACTGCCTTTTCATTTTATTTTTTTCTTGAAAATGTTTTTTTTACCGCCTGTTTTAATGATAAGTGCATTTCAGATTTATTTAGTTATTGATAATTATTTAACTTTAATTTTCAATTTCATTCTTTCATTTTAGTAAGATTTTTCTTATATTGTCTACTTATATAGTTAAAATTTGCATGTTCTGCCCCAGAGATATTATTTAGGTGGGGGGGGGGATACTTATAAGTTTTTTAGTTACCTATTTCAAATTTTACCATTATTTATTTAATTTTTTTAATAAGCACCTTTCATTTAAAAGAAGAAAAAAAGCACTTTTAAATTTTTATTTTCTCATAATTTTCAGCTTTAAATATTAAAAAAAAATCTTTCAAGTTGTTTATCAATTAATCTTTTTTTTTTAGTTATACATTGCTTTTTTTTCAGAAAATTTATACACAGAGATTGTCTTTTAGCTTGCTTTTAAAAAAATTTCAAAAGCTTCAATTTTTTCTGTAATTTTGATAATGAGCATGAATTGCTCTGTAAAGGATAATTTAGTTAAGAATCAAATTCAGTTATTAAGCAAGATTACACATTTTGATGAATTTTAATGGTGGAGTACCCTTTTAAGACTCAAAGTATCCTTTTCTGTGTTGAAGCACCCTGCTCTTTTTTATTTATAGGGAGAACTCTGCGTTCAAAAAACAAAAATTTACATTTTTGTACAGTTTATGGATTTTTAACTTTTATATAAATGTTTATATTTCTTTACTAATGTGCATTTTTTATTTTAGCTAAAGTCGTTTAATGTAAGCATGTCGGAAACACCTGGGGAATCAAGCACTGATAATGAAGAAGCTGGAAAGAAGAAAAAATCTGTTGTAAGTTGTTTTGTTTTTTCAACTATATTTGATAAATTGCAACTGTTATCATTTTAGAATTTATTTTTATATGGAATTTTTTATGTACTGTAAAAACATTTTTGTACTTTAAAAGTTGGTGTGCAGTTATAGAATAATTGTCTTGTTTTATCTAAACAAATTTTAAAAAAGTTTTAAATTCAAAATGGTCTTTTGATTTATAGCGTTAAAATAAATTTTTAATTTGAAATTTTGTAGTGTATATAATTATATAAAAATATTTTTTAAGGTACCTGATTCATTGATTTCAAAGGTAAGTATTTTTCTCAATTGATTCAAAAAAATGCTGACTGTGGCTAAACCACCATCAATCAGTTAGGAATAGGAAACTTGAGTGTTATATAATGTTTTAGAAATGATTTTCTGGAATTAGGTAAAAGGACCATAGAGAACAGTTTTTAATTAGCAAAAATCAGTTTGTTTTAGGGCCATAGCTGAGAAATGAATTTCGATAGCTAAGTATAGATTCTCTTTTAAATTGTCAATATTTTGTTGAAGACGATTCATGAGGATTTACCTAAGTTTTTCTTGAACTATGACATTTTTTTTTAAAATTTATTTTCATATTAGTTTATCTTTTAAATATTGGCTTATGTATATTACATTGAAAAAAATTAACACTCTTACCACATATCAATTTTTTGTATCTTTTGAGAGCAAAAAAGGTATTGTATTTTATATAGTATTTTATTTACATTTAAAATTCTGAACATTTTGAACCTTGATAAATTTTTTTTATAAATTCTTCTAAATTTAAAGTTTTTTATTACTCTCAAGAAAACTTTGCATTAATTTCTGACAAAATCAGACATCTTATGGCAAATATGTTTCTATTCAAAAATTCTTACATTTTAACTGATTTGAAAGGTAAAGAATTTATTTTATCTAAATTTGTTTCATTGCACTGTTTCTGATTTTTTTTATACATGACTATAAGGAATTAAAATTTATTAGTCTTAGTTAGGGTTGCAAGTTTGTCGCGGCGCAAATTTTCGCAAAATTTCAAGTTTTTTTCCAAAAATTCGCGAATTTTTTAAAATTACGCGATTTGAACGAAAGTTATTCAATTCGCGCGGTTTAAATAAAATTATTCACAATTTTAAGTTATTTTTTTCTGTTTTGTCTTATCAATAAAAATATATTTGTAGTTATTATTTTTCTGAAGTTTAAAAATTGATTATATTTTTTCAAAGCATTCACAAAAGTATCTAGCAAAATGACATTAGAATTGGGTTAGGCTCTATACAAGCTCCTTGCTTTAGTATTGAAATTGAATACCATGAACAAACTGAAAGATAAGATTTTCTACATTCTAATTCTTCATAAATCTATCAATTCTTATCTCCCCCTCCATTGACCAGAGGGACAGTCCTCTCACTGTATGAGCCCCCATCTTATAGCACTCACCATGTAAAGGGGGGGGGGCAACCACAAGACATTTGTAGTTAACAAATTATTTGGGGGATTGAATTTCATTGCTGGAATTAGTAGGACTGAAAAGTTGATTGAAGACTGGTGGTCACAAAAAGGGTGGTCTTCTTATCTTTTTGTTGACTGATTGACACCAATGCCTCCCTTTCCTAACAGTCAACTAGAATATAAAAGATAAAGGAAAACAAAAGAAGAAGAAAAATTGACTCTTTCACAGGAAATTCCTAGTAGTGAGAAGGTACATATATTTACACTGATTATTTCAATAGGTACAGAAAGGCATGTGGAAATGCTTGTTAACAATAGAATACTCAAGAGCGGCTCTTTTAATCTTTTGATGGATAACAGGAAAGTGTATTGTAACTTTCATTCCTACAAAAATAATGCAAAGTCTACTCAAAATATCTCATTTCATTTTCAAGCGAGGTTAAGGAAAGTTTTCAGTTCTTCTTAGATGGTAAAATGAGCCATACGAGCAAGATAACTGCTCTCGAGCGTTGTAAGCAATATAAAAAAGGAACTTTTGAAGTAAGAAAGAATCTTTTGTTTTGTGCCAATTGCAATGTTCCAGTAGATTTTTCGAGGAAAGATAGCTGTGAAAAACATTTAAAAAGTAAACTACATCTAAAAAAGAAAACCAGTGAACCCAGTGTAACTCAAACAGGTATTGAAAAGTTGTTTGAAAAAAAAAAACCTTCAAGAGCAACACCGTGGTGTTCAACTTTCAAAGTTGGTAGGTGTATTTGCAGCGGCAAACATTCCCCTGAACAAGCTAGATAATCCTGCACTGAAGGGTTACCTGGAAAATTCCCTTAAAGATATTGGTGTCATTCCAAGCTCTAGCCACTTACGAAACCACTACCTGCCTAAGATTCACGAATTTCATAAAAATCAAGTTGCCGATATTTTAGCCTCTGCAGCTGGTGTAAGTATTGTGACGGATGAAACTACAGACTCTGAAGACAGATATGTATTAAACGTGTTAGCAGTTCCATCTGTGGACATACAAGATGATAGTTCTGACATTTCTTTATCTGCTTTTTTCTTAGAAAGCATACCACTGGAAAGTGTAAATTTTAAAACTGTTAGCGAAGCAGTTATCCAGTGTTGTCAAAAGTACAAGCTTCGTTTTAATACCATTTCATCTTTCGTCACTGACAATGCGTCTTACATGAACAAAGCATGGGAAAAAAGTTTGAAAGCAGTTTTCTTGAATGCTGTTCATGTGACTTGCAATGCACATCTTTTAAATCTCCTAGGAGAAATATGGCAAAATCAATTTGAAAAAGTGAATTCTTTTATTGTGCATTTAAAGCGTGCATTCACAGCATGTCCTTCACGTAAGGGTCGATTTCGAGCCTTTTTAGTTGAAAAGGGTAAAAACGCCGCTCTACCACCGGTTCCTGTACAAACCAGATGGAATAGCTGGTTTAAGGCAGCTTTGTTTCACGTAAATTACTTAGCTGAATATGCAGAGTTCTTCGATAAAGAGCAACAAAATAGCAGTAGTTCTTTGATCAGCACGATTTCCGAAGAATGTTGTAACGCAGAATTGAGTGAAGATTTAAGAGAGATTGAAAAATATGCATCTTTAATTTTGAATCTATTAAATTTATATGAAAAACAAAGAATAAGTTTGCATGTTATTTTTAATGAAATGTCTGATCTTGCTGAAGATTTAAACAGCAAATCTATAACCTGCCAGCACTTGAAATCTAAAAAAGCTTTAAAATCATGCCAGGAAAAAATTCAGGCATACTTTTTTGAAGGCAATATTACAACACACAGATTTCGTCAACCAGCATCAAGCTTTTTTAAAGCATGCAGAGCTTTTGATCCTAGTCAATTCAAATGCTTAGATGTTTTCCAAGAAGATGATAGTTCTTTTATTTTTAACTCTATCCCCATGTTTGAGGATGAAGAAGAGTTGAAGAACGAATTTAATGTTTACAAAGCGACAGTTAATGAACTACACGTTGAAAGTAGACAATTAATTCAGTTTTGGAAATCGAAGATGGAACGCTATCCAAAACTGTCTAAAGTGGCAATTCGATGTTTGTCAGTACCAACTAATAGCGTGGATGCCGAACGATCTTTTTCAAAATACAAAAATGTATTGAGTGATGAAAGGAGAAACATTAGTGAGAATAACCTAACCATGTATAATATTTTGTATCAAAATTCTGTACATTTAAGTAACGGCATTAATATTGCTTAAAGAAAAAATTTTGTAACTTTTTTATGTTTTTTATTATTTTAAAATTGATTTTTGGTGTAAATATCAGTGCATATGTTATCCGCGAAAATTTCGCGAATTTTTAAAACTTTTGCGCGAATCACCCGCAAATTTATGTCTTTTTTCCCCGTGACAAACTTGCAACCCTAGTCATAGTTGAAAAAATCAATAGCATTTTATAATAAATTATATGTTTTATTTGTATATTTAGTTATTTTGACTTATTAAATATACCAATTTCATTTCTGTAGCTTTTAGATGTATTTAAAATTATATTTTTATATAGTCAATGTGTATTTAATTCTATTATGCTTTTAATTTTAGCTTGAAGATAAAAGCAAAGATGATCTCATTCAGATTGTTAAAAAACAGTTGAATTTACTTCAAAAAGCAAAAGGAAAAAGTGATGGTATAGTAGACTTCCTTTTTTTTCCATATAATCTTTTTAGTTTAAATAAGAATATGACTACTCTTAATTTTTTTTTCTAACTTAATACCTTTACTCATTTCCATCCAACATTTATGAGTGAAATTGACCTTTTTTTCATAAGCTTAAACAAAATGTTAATGAGGAATGTAATATTCTTGTATTAAGAAGTAAGATTACAAGGAGTATATTTTAATGACTATATGAGTCATTCATTCATTCATTTGTAAAAATATATTCATTTTAAATATTTTCTGGAAATAAGGTATTATGTACACTTTCTTACTGGTAAGTTGGAAGATCGCTCGTAAACCTATTAGTCTCGTATACTTTTTTTCATATCTCTATAACAAAATCGACTAACTTTTTTAGGGAGAGTGCCACTTAAGTTTTATTTCGAATTTTTTTTTTTTTTCCCTTCCAAATCATTTATATTAGTTTTCAAAGATGCTAGCAAAATTCAGTATTTTGTAGTCCAAATCTGATGCTATTTAATAACATTCTTTACTTTGACAGAAACCTACAACAATATCTGACAGCCAAATTAAGTAAATTTGGAAAAATGACTTCTTGGTACAAATTTTAATATAATTTGAGTAGCAGTGTTGTTAGAGATTTTGACTAAGTTTCTGAAGTTCAATTAATATTTTTTAAACTTTTCAATAAGTCTTCATGTTTTATTATTTAAAATCTGCCCTGGCATGTGTGTCTCAAATTAGTTATTCATGCTCTGTACTATCCTTATATACTGATTATTTATAAATAACTGTGTTTTTAACTTTTTGAACCACACATATATTTTTGATATTTTATCATTCATACAAGTGAAACGTAATTTTCAAATATAATATTGACAATCTGCAATTTTATGTATCGATTTTTATTTTTTTAACAATTACAGCACATTAAGTAGCTTTTCATATTGTTGAATCGAATAAGTCGGTTAAGTTGCAACCCTGCTTATCATGAACTAATATCGAGAATTTTTTATCTAGAAATATGTTTATACCTAAAACTGCCAAAATTATACTTGTGCCCTTTTCACTTGTTAAAGTGGAGATGCAGTGCATATGTTTAATAAGAGGCACAGTAGACTATGGTAAAGGGTTAAGGAAGCATGGTTTATGGCTTCTCTTTTTTTGAAAATTTACTTTAATTCAAACATATTCCTGGCATTGCTCGTTGTTAGGCTTTGTGCAAACCTCTCTTGGCTACATAATTTGATTTCATTTTTCTTACAATTGACGATTCACTTTTTTCCTTCAATACAATAATCCAGATTTTTTCCTTCTTTCTTTTATAGAATTGAACAGGAAATGCACTGTTTTGGAGAATGAAGTAGAAAATCATGCTAAACATGAAGAAGAATTACAAGACCAAATTAAAATCCATGAAAAAGAAATTGTTAAACTAAAGCAAATCAATGTAAGATACCTTGGCATCATCTTTTAAATTAGGTTTTACTTTTGTTTTTCAATATATAAATTTTTAATGTGACCTTACCAATTTTTTTCAAAGCCCTTTTGACAACATTTTAATTAATTCAAAACATTTCAGTTTTTAATGAAATGTTTTAATGCAGATTTTCTTCTGTGATAATAACTTAAAAATATTACGATTTTGGTACATCAAAATTATATAAACTGAATAAAATTATTGAACAATCTATTTAAATTCACCATAGAACCCTTATTATCCTAGGTAATTAAGTATTTTGATTATCTAAATTTACAGATGTTCAATGTTCATCATAATTGTATAACATTCATCTGTATTTATCAAACATAAATAAAATCTTGTTTCTAATCACATCTCATAAATTTTAATATTACAATGATTGCCTTCCATTTTAAATGCTCTTTTTGACATTTTATGTACAGTAAGTAATTGGAAACTTTACATAATGCAAATTATTTGTTTTTATCTTGTTGATTTTTTTATATTTCTTTATTGAACTTAATAATTTTAATAATTCTATTTTTTTAAAGCAGAACTTTTATTAAAAAGAAAAAGTTTTTAGCTAAAAATTAAATAATTTATAAAGGATTAGTTAGGACCTAAAAACCCTATTCAGTTTTAAAGTATAACTAACAAGGAAACTTAAGCTAAACATATTTATCAATTTTTAATATTAAAGTTGCTTATTTGAAACAGTTAGGTAATAATTTTGCACATAATCATGCTTCTAATCAATTTTTAAAAAAATCATTGAAATTTTCTGTAGTTTTTCTTTTTAAATTTATTTAAACACATTTTAAATTTTATCTGTTTATAATATTTTTAGAATGTTTGTTACAAATGAAATCCTAAATTCAGTTGAATGATAATTAATTGCATATTTCGTGAATATTTTTGCCTACAATTCTACAACTTGCTATAATATATATTATGAGTTAACAAATCACAATGTATATATTGATTATTTTGTGACAGGATAATTTTTCTATTGAAAAAGAGCATGAAATTTCTGAATTCAAAGAAAAGATTGACTCGTATGAAAAAGAAAAACTAATTGCATTATCACAGTTACATGAAAAAGATGAGCAGGTAGAATGCCTTTCAATGCAGCTGGATACTGTGAAAAAAACTTGTCAGTGTCTCCAAGAAGAACTTATGAAATACCAAAAACTTTGTGAGGTAAGATTTTATGGATTACCTTAATATATATTAAGTATATGAATTGAATATGATAAAAATAATATCTTCCTTCAAACTATTGCTAATCAAAAGTTTTTATGATGTTTAAATTAATTATTGATGATTTATAGGGTAAGATAGCATCATTATCTATACTCTGATAGCAATATTGTTTATTCTAACTTTATTTTAAAATTACCCACCATTTTTGAAGTAGCACATAAAAGTTTCTGAAAAAGTCAAAGTGCAGTTTCTTTAAAATAATTCTTTAAATTGTAATTCTTTAAATTGTTGGGATAATAGTTTCTATTAGTTTTAGCTCTCTGATATTTCGCAAATTTGAAATCAGGGAATGTTTCTTCTCGAACCGCGGCTAACTAATATTTTTGCTATACATTCTTATGTGATTTTATAAACACTTATATTCTGATTATGACACTCCAATTATGAATTGTGCATTTTTTTAAGTTCCTTATTTATTGTGATTGCTTCTTAAATCTATGTAATTTTGTGATCGTTTTTCTACAAACAGTCATTGCTAGGTTTTTCTTCATGATACTATTTCATTACAACATACATATTTAAAATCATGCATTTATCCAATCTCTTTTTGCCGCATCATTATTGTAAACCCAAGTCATTTCGCGATACTTTTTTTTTTGGGGGGGGGGGCAGTTAGCATGGTGTTTTACCATTTGGTGTTTAAAATTTTAATATTTTCTAACAACATTATTACAACATATGAAATTCCAGTTAAGTTGTGAAATACATAAATTTTTAATTCTTTGCTCGTTGAAACTTTATTTCAAATTTTAAAAATCTTAATATTTAACGTTATTAAACCTCTTAAAATGCATTAAATTTAAGAAGTCTTAAATTAGTAAGTATCTTCCTAATTTAATTTTTACTCTTATTTCAATCTAAAATGGGTTTGTTTCAATTTAAACAATTTTAAATGCCATAAATTCCCTTTTATTAAAGTATCTAATTTACATTTATATTACTCTATAAAACAATATTTTTTTACTATAACTCTATGAACATAAAAAAAAAATTATTAATAGAATTTCTTTTTAAATGAACTTTTGTGATATGAGAAGTAATAAAAAAGCCATTGCTTTTTCCTAATATTCATGTTCATTTTAATATGTTTTTTTTTTCTTTAGGAATGTTTTTTTTAAAAAATGTATAAGTTTAGCTTTTTTTAGTTAAAAGCAATTGATTTATTCAAACATATTAATCAGTTGATTGATAAGAGGCAGGGACGTAGGTAAGGAGGGTGTTCAGAGTGCTCAAACACCCCCCATTGTACAAGGCAATTTTCCTTTTTTTTTAATACTATAGATAATTTTTCCTTAATTTTAGAAAATGTTTAAATATTTTATTTACTGAAAAAAAAATGGAGAATTCTCATGACATTTTATTTTGAGGCTTTTATTAGTCTGTAACAGAAATAAAATAATCACTACTGCCTCTTGCTACCCATTCATCAAAAGAGCAATAAACGCTTTTCTTCAGTGATTAAATTAGATAGCATCCCTTTCCTCATTGATTTACCACCCACAAAGCTTCTCCCCTCAGAAAAGTAGCCAGCCCAGCTCATATTACTCTAAGGGAAAATGTTCTTCGTTTCTTCCAATGAGTTCTATCTTATCTCATCTACTTTTTAAAATATCGGCTATACACAGATCCTATTTACGGTCATAAAATGCATGCCTCAAACAAAGAATTCTCTTGGATTTCTATAGGACTGCATATACATGTTAACCTTTTCAGGACATAAAACTTCCTTGGCAATTTTTTCGGTCATTCTGTCTGAGAACTTTGTCTACACTCATCCTAAAAGCGCTTAGTTTCAGATTTTTCTTTTTGTTTAATGTAGCATTTCACTTAAAATTTCTTTTCATATTTTCTTTCTGATTAATTTTTATTTGTTAATTTCATCCGTTAATTTTTAATTTGTATTGTGTAATTCTGTTCCTGTAAATAAAACGTGATCTTTTATTGGCTCTAAGAAGAACTTGAATCAAAAATATTGGAGGTAAGCAAATACTTGTATTAAATCAAGCCTTCCGCATATCTGTAACATTTATAATGCTTTTTTATTTCCGCACATACGTAACATTTAAACTGTACAACAAATAGATTTATTTAGTAAATTTGATTATTCATGCATAATTTTATTTTTAATTCCCAATTTTTGTTCTCATTTTATGATTATGAAATCTGACTTAAAAATTTTTGAAATTCTATACTGAAAATTGAAACAACTTTATTATAATTCAGTCAGAATTGAAATATCTATATTACATTTAATTTTATATTAAAACACAAAAATTTCATAAATGAATAGCTGAGAGCAATTAATCATTCAAACTATCTTAGTATAAATGTGTAAGTGTAACTTAAAGTTTAACTATTTTTTAGAAAATTGAAAAAACTTTCTATTACTAACTTTCTTTTCTCGGGATCTTATTGCAAGGTAAGTTACTTATGATATTGACAAATTTTTAACGATAATACTTCATTGCATAATCAAAAGTGGCGGTATATGTAACAGTTTTATAAAATTAAAACAAATGTCAACAAACCTTTAAATTATCATAAAAATTACTGAAATTGTTAATTAAAAAAACAATTCAGTACTTTCTAAGAATGATTTGAATCAGCTAAAATAGTTTTTTTTTGTCTACTTAATTTCGTATATATTCATAGCAGAGTCGAGACCCCTTTTTCTTTAGCTATTATATGCATAGACCTTGTGAAGAAATCTTTAAAAAAAATATTCGCCAACTGAAATTTAGTAAATAATGAATATTTTATCCAAACGTAACAGATTAACAGGAAACCTTTACATTTACTTAATAAATAATATCAGTTTAAATTAAAATATCAGAATAGTATCGAACAGTTTTTAATCTGTAAGGAAAAAAATTAATAGCCAATAATAAATTTTTCGTAATAATAAATTCAACGTAATTCATAAATTTTCCGTATAATTAAGATTGTGACAACATGCTCTGAACTAAATAAAAATTATGCATTCAAAAAATAAAAATTATGCATATGGTTTTCTTCAATTTTAAATGAATCAAATGAATAATTTTATATTTAACTTAGGAATATTTTATTAAAATTCAGATCACTTAAAAACGAATCACAAAACGGATATGAAAAATTTATCATTGCAACTGCATTTAATTTTTCATGAATGATCTCAAAATTTTTATTTGTTAACCATAATCTTGTGTAAACAGTGTAAGCAAATAAAATTAGCAATAATTACGCTGCACTAAACTAAGTCTGACACTGAATATAAAAAGAAATGAAGTTTAACAAAAGAGTAAACTACATTACAAATAATACTTTAATTCCAATTTGTTTAATTCCAATTTGTTTAATTCCAAATTGAAGAGTTTGAAGATATTTTATGTTTTGACTTGAAGTATTCAACACCTTAATTATGATTTATCGTCAACACAAACTAATGAAAAAAAATCTTTGTTTATCAAAATATTTTAAGATTATTAAATTTGTAAGGGGTAACATTTATTTCTCTTAAAAAATAAATTTTAAGTAGAAATTGCTTTAAACACATAATGCATTATACTGATTAAGTAACGAAAACCTTTTTTGAAGTCAACAATTTTAAAAGAATTAATTGTTTCTCTGATATTTAAATTTAATTTAGTGTGATTAGTAATTCTTTAAATGTTGAAATGCCCGCGGCCACTTTATCGAAATCCAAATTTTATAGTCCGTGATCTTACGAAACACGGATTTTTTTCATTCAATATTTATTTACGAAATATTATGAGGCTTTGTAACGATTTTTTTTTCTTGTGCTGTATATCTTTTGTATTTATTAAAAATTTTTTGTTACATTATTAAAGTTTTACACCTTCTACTTAATAATGTAGTTTAACAGGATATTATTGAAATAAACAAAAAGAAAAATTTGTGTGAAGATATATTCATTTACCGACTTCTGCGAGTGTACTATATATCTATGAGTAATTTTCGTTAAGTGCGACAATTTAATATAACTGCCATTGAATCTGATATCATAGAATAAAATGACAATTTTTTTTAAAAGTTTATTTAACACCATTTTTTTAGCTTTTTGGAAAGATTTTACACATTGTCATTTTCCTGCGGTCTATAAATAATTAATATACTATAATTAATATAATTATAAATAATTAATAAATAATTAATATAATACTAATATAATTATAAATAATTAATAAATAATTAATATAATACTAATAACTATATTATTCAATCTGAGCTGTTTAATAAAGTCTTGTGATTAATAACACAAAGACTAACTAAAAATGAAATGGAACATGGAAGTAAAAGCTATAAAATTATAAATTGTAATTTTTCTGGCACTTGAATGCCAAGGAATAATTGGAAACTGCAAAATGCTTGTTTATTGTACACTGCTCTCTGTAAGGTATTAATGAGAGTTACTTTAATAAACGAGTATTTTTTTAAAAAAAATCTATAGTATTCCAATCCAAAGGGTTAAAAAAAAAAATATTCCGTTGTGTCGTATTTTCTGAAACTGATCTGTATATTCTACTTCGTAAAGAATTCTTTTTTTTATATATTATTTTGTCTGCTTAAACGCATTATAATTTTACGGTGAACAGATGAATTTTAGATAATAACGGTGGTTTTGTTTTAATGCTCTTTTTATTTGAATTTCGCTTTTCTCCCAATCGAAGGGAAGCGATCAACGACTTTTATGGCTTGTCTTTATTTTGATCTTCATTTAGATCACTGGCTGTGATTTTTAGCATTTAAATGAAGCTTGCAGTGAAAACTTCTGTATTCGATTATTTTATCAGAACCAAAAAGAGTTTACTTGTATGCATGTAATTGGTTGAATTAAATTACATCTAGATAATAAATTCCTCAATCACAAAACATCCCCCATGAAAAAACTATACCTATGTTCTTGATAAGAGGATTTACTATTTGAAACACTGATGTTTATAAAATAATTAGAACTAATCAGTGGCCCATAAAAGTTCAACATTTGTATGAGGCAAGGCCTATTTTTTTAACCAATATATAATGGATTAAAAAAATAACTGTTTTTTATTTTCTGAAATTGCTTAAAAAATTATTAATTTTAGAATAATATCACCTATAATAAATATTCTAATTATAAATATCTATATAACAGTATCACCTTTTAGCCAAGTGTTCTACTATTTCTTTCAATTCAGTAAAAATTTGTTATTCTCAGTCTTGTAATGTGATTTGTGAAATTATACTTTCATACACTGTAAAATAGATCCATTTTTAAATGAAATTTTGCTGATTGTTTACTACTTAAGTTGCTGTGTTTTGGCATGCATTGTTGGCACTTACTTAGTTTGATCTGGATGGAAAAATCAAATGCAACTTTGTATGTATGCTTTAATAAAATAAAGTTAATATGTATTTCTTAGAGCAGAACCACTGCATGAGACCAATGCACAGATTGTTGCTTGGTAGTTTAATCATTTGCTTATGTAATGTAGTTTTCTGTGTAAATCTTATTTTTATAGCATTTTTCATGATATTTAAATTTTTTATACACAATAAAATTAGTTTAATGCATGTAATTTGTTAAAAAAAAGAATTATAAATGTCAGGTAATTTTTTAATTAATTTTGTTCGCAAAAACTTAAGCCATAAGATTAATATTAATCATAGAATTAACTAATTATTCGTACCCATGTCATTTCTTATTGACAAATCCGAAATTATTTGGTGAAGATTTTTCTAAAAGATAAGCATATAACTGTATGGTTTTTTGTTCAAAATCAAGTGCTTTATGATTGTAATATGATTGATAATTAACTAGCTTTATATGAAGGATAACTTAAGATCCTCAATAAGATTTATAGCGATTCTCAATATTAACATAAAATTCTCTTTACTCTTTCTTAGGATATATTATTCAGTTTAAGGATCTGCTGTTTCTAAATCAGAACCTTTATTTTTAAAACATAAAATTACCACAGACATAATTTTAAAAAAAAATTGCATATTTTTTTAAACAAATGTATTAATTTTTTCTTACAGGAATTGAAAGTAGAAGTGAAAACTACATCTGATGCTCGGGATACTGCAGTGCAATCTCTTAAGGATCAAAATCTTCTTTTTGAAAACAAACTTAAAGAATATTCCATGCTATATAATGAATCAGTTGAAATAAAAAATAAATACTCTTTGTGCATTGAAGAAAATTGTACTCTAAACTCAAAACTGGAAGAGTCAAACCAGTTAATAAATGATCTTCAGACTCTGAATAAGGATCTCTTGGTTCAAAAAACAGAAATATCTGAACGTTTAGAAAAATCTGAAAAAACTCCCAACAGCACATGGCAAAATGATTCAGAAATCTCTTTTCTTATTGCAGATAACCAAAAACTTCTCTTGGAATTAAATAACTTAAAAGAAGAGAATCGAGAGTTGAAAGAAAAAATTATTCCTTTTGAGAACAATGTTGGAAAAGGCTCTACTGTGGATGATGGTCAAAACAATCAAAATGCATCAGACAATAAAGTTCTTAAAACTCAGCAAGAACTTAACAGTATGCAAACAATTTTATGTGATCTTGAGAGTGTTAACAATAGTTTGAAACGTGAAAATGAAACTTTGAAAGAAGAATATCAAACTATACTTTTAGAGCTTGGAGAAATCAAAAACATTCACAAGGACATTGAGAACAAACTAGAAACTTGTACAAATGAGAAACTGAACCTTGAAAGCGAAGTAAAAAAATTATCATCAATTTTGAACGAAATGGGTGATTCGAAATCCGGCTTTGAGCTCGCTCTTTTGCATGGGGCAGAATCTGAAAGTTTAAAGCAGCATTCCATCCCTAGATCCGATGATGATCAGCCCACTAAAGTAAATAAACAAGAACTAACTGAAAACCTTGTCTCAGAGTCCTCTATTATGTCTGAAGAAGTAAATTTTTCATCTTTTGGATTTGAATATGCACTATTAGATGGGGGCTCTATTTCAGGAATGTGTGTAAATTCAATTCAATCTGAAGGCTCTGTTGATGAAATTGTAAATATGTCTCAAAACTGCACAACTGATCAGGGTACAACATTTGAAGAGAAAAAGCCAGATAAATGCATGGAAAATGAAATTATTTTATTGAGAGAAAGGCTAGAAATGTATGCAGAATCTTTGAAAGAAACCCTTGAGGAAAATGAATCACTCAAACTGAAAATGGAAGAGTATGAAAATGAAAAGTCTAGGAAATATGATTCCTTAGTTGAAGTTTTCACTAACACTGAAACGAATTTTATTGAAACTAGTGTTTTTGAGGAAAATGTTTCTAAATTAGCAAATTGTGAAAATGTGATACTTACTTTAAGACAAGAAAACAGTAATCTAAATGAGAAAATTTCACAGTTAGAAACAAATTTAAATTCTATTGTTGAAGAGCACAATGGTTTTCAAAATGAAGTTAACTTAATGATAAAAAATTTGGACGATTTGAAAATTTTAAATTTCCATCTTGAAGAAAAGGTAAGCATCTTTGAGAAGGAAAACAGTGAAACAAGTGAGAAATTGCAGAAAAAGTGTAAAGAGATATCTAATTACCATACTGATTTGCAATTGCTCGGGTTTTACCTATTAGAAACTATTGGTCCAAACTCAGTTTTTTGTGGATCTGATAAGGAGTTGCTTTGTAGCAAGGAGAGTCTAAAAATACTGATAGAAGAGCTTGCTGCTCTCTATCTCTCAAATTGTTCTGCACTGAAAGATTTTGAAGAAAACTTGGAGAATTGTAATGATCAAAAACAAAAATTGGAAGAAAAATTCTGTCATTCAGAAGAGCTAAACAAATTTTTGGAAGAAGAGGTAAAAGCTTTACAGGATGAAATTGAAAATTTAAAAAATGAATCTAACTATTATAACAAAAACTACAATAACTTTTCAGATACTATGTGCTCAAGTGGTCCATCAGAGTTGTATAGCATAGAGGAAGCCAATGAAAGTGAAGAAAAAGGCATGGTGGGGGAATGTTTACAAAATCAAGATGCTTCAGGGTCGTTTAATGAGAATGTTGATACTTTTACAAATAACAGTGCCTTGCATATTACAGAGATTGATACGCTGACAGAAGAACAAGAAGCATCTAAAGATATTTCTATACAAACAGATGTGTTTTTTCAAGAACAGTTTAATAACAGTCTTAAGGCAACTTCTAATAATGAATCATCAGTTGATTCAGAAAGCATACAAATAATTGAGGATGCTATAAACTATTCTTCTTTTGAGGCAGATAAATTGAAGCTAGAAACTTCCTTGAAATATAAATCTGATGAAGTTGAAAGTTTGTTAAAGGAAATCGCAATAAAAAATGACGATTTATTAAAATCAGCAAATAAAATAACAGAACTTCAAGAAAAATTTAAAGATTTACTCAATGAAGTTGATTCAAATAAAATAGCTTTACATCAAATTAGCGATTTGATAAGTGCATTAAAAACTGAGAAATGCAAACTTAAATCAGATGTTGCTTTGTTAATGACTGATCAAAACAATTCATGGCAAATTTCTTCTGAAAATATCCTTTTATCATTGAACAACTTCTCTGAAGCATTTCATTTATCGCATCAAAAATGTATTTATTTTGAAAGAATTACAGAAAGCTTAATTTCATACTTCGATAACTTTGCAAATGATTTCAATGTATGGCTAACTACACTCAAAGAAACGGGTGATGAATTTATTTCTAGTAATAAATTGCAATTGTTCCAAGAAACTTCTAAACAAAACTTTTTTAACTTTTTTAAACCACCACCTGATTGTCTAATATTGAATGAGTGTGACACTCTTATTAAGGATATAGAAAAATTTGATATCAACAAGCAGAAAATGTTTGATTTATTTTGCAATTATGTGATTACAAATGAAAAAACTTTAATGAACTTAAAGGAACAACTGAACGATTACACACTTAATAACTCAAATAAACTAGAATGCGATAATGTACAACAGGCTAACAGTTGTAATGAAGAAACTGTTGCTAAAAGTCAGTTAATTGAAGCAGAAACAAAATTGAAAAAGCTGAAACAAATTTCATTGAAATTGAAAAAAGAGTTAGATGATTCTAAAAAACAGGTATACAAATCATTATTATTTTTTTTAGTTAAAATTTTTTTTTTTTTAAATTATCTAAACTTATCACTTTTTTTTTCTATTTTCTTTTTTACAGATAAGGGAAATTTCAATTGAAAAGGAAAGGATACTAAAAGATTTAACTGTTGCTCGCAAAGAATTAGAAAAGTCTTCAAACGAACAATATCAATGTATGCAAAACTACCAGGTAGAAATTGTTTTTACTTAATTTTTATATTTAGATAAAATTAATCTTATATTGTTCTGTAAAGCAATTTGGTCATTGCATGATTTGTTGGCTCTGAAGCTAGCGAGTTCTGGTAATAATTTTTCATACATTGAATGTTTCATTCTCTCGAGGATTATGTTTTTTTTTTTATCATTTATTTATGCAGCTTCTTCAGTTTTATTTGCTAGGTTGTCTGTTTATTTTATTTTCTCTTTGTGAGCACATTTTTTGGTGATGTTATTGAAAACCAATGAACATTTTAGTTTCAATTTTAATACATTTTTCAACTGAGTCATGTGTTGAATGCAGAAAACAACAAATTCAAAAAAGAAACAAAACAAAAATCAGAAATATAAAAAGTTAAACTTTTGAATTTTTTATGGTTTTCAAAAGCACAAATATTTACTGCTGAAAAGTTATAAAAACTGATTCTGAAATATTATCTCAAATCGTACATTTAACTTTACTTTGTGAGAAGAAAGTTGATGAAAACAAGGAATAAACATTTGCATTGTAACAAAAACTGTGTACTATTTATGAACAATAAAGTTTTGAACATTATTTTAAATTATTGTCTTAGCACAGGGATGGGCAAACTACGGCTCGCGGGCTAACTGTGACCCACCAGAAGGTTTTATCCGGCCCGCAGATAGAATTTTAACTTGTCAATTTGTGGCACTTAGTTTAAAGCTATTAAATGAAGTACTGATGACCTTTTATTTTCTCTATTTTTGTTCTTCAAAACATAAATTGATGAAAATAGCTTGCATAGACAGCTTCAATTGGTAAAATGTTGAAAGCGGAAGTTCTTTATAGAATAGCCGTAGATTGGCGCCATTTGAAGTAGTTGTTTCTAAGTAGTATGTCAAAGTTTGAGTTTTACAAATTATTCCCAAAAGCTAGTTTCTCAAATTTAATATTTCATGCCTAGAAAATCAGTGCTATGTTTGCTTCATCTTATTTATGTGAACAAGTGTTTTCAACTATGAACCTTAGAAAAAATCATTTCAGAAGTAGACAAACATTTGACCTTGTTCCTTAAAATAAATACATCTCACTTGGAACCTCAGTGTAAGGAACATTTAAAAATGAAATCGCAATTTCATTCATCTCATTAAATATTTAAATTAAAACATGTATATAATTTTTTTATTTTAGAAGTTTTCCCTTGGTCCATCAAACTTTTTTTTCTTGTTTTTTTGCCCTCAACCGAAAAAGTTTGCCTACCCGTCTTAGCATGTTCGTGTTTATAAGGCCATTAATTTTCGTTTTTTAGCAGTTTCAAAGTTAAATTACAGAACAAAAACTGAATTATAATAAAAGAGATTCAATTTAATGTTGTCATTGCCAATGGCAACCAAATAGTTAGGGATTTTTTCTGTGGTTAGATGTTTACTCTAATTATCTGTCTATTATCAGTTTATTGATAAATCATATGAAATTTGAATTGTTGTATCCATTTTTTTTTTTAATTTCAATTTTACTTAATTTCTTATTCAGAGCTCAATACTATATAAATCAGTATAATTTGTAGTTAGATTGACTTTTTCTAATTTTGATTGTTATGTATTGAATGCCTAAGTATTGAAGTTATTGTAAGTATTTTGTTCAGTAAAAATTATTTCTTTCGATTCACTGTTTTTTTACTCATTTACTTCAGAGCCTACAAATTGAGTTCGATAAAACTCAAGATGAATTTGAACTTCAAAAGGAAAACATGAAAAAATTTCAAGAAGATTTTTCAGTCACCCTATTGGAATTAAATGCTCTGAAGGAAAAGATTTTAGAAAAGGATCTTCAAATTGCAAATTCTAAAGAAATGCTTGATGCATCTACTTCCTGCAAAGAAGTAATTTATTGTTTATCTTAGTTACATAATTTTATCATTGTTCATACCTTTATTTATATTTATTCATCTAAAGCCATCATTTCTTTTCTTCAAAACACGTTTTTCTAAAGCTTTAACTGCTCATTTTGCTAAAAATATACAGATAGATACTGAACAACCAATACCTGTGTTATTAGTCATTCAACATACACAATAGTTATTAAATATAAGGTAAAAATGTAATAATTGAATACATTATTGTGTTGTTGTTTTTAAAACCTTTGTGTACTTATTTTTCAAATATTTGTTTCCTATGACAGGAATAGCTAGCCCAGAGACAAACTCAGTTTTTGCGCCAGACAAAGGGGACTTTTCGGCACTATTTTACGGTTTTGAGTTTAAGATTGTGTAAAAACTAAAATCCGCCACACCTGGCATTATATTGTTAATTTTTAAATTAAATAAGATTTTGGATTTTGAGCCTTTAAAAAATGCCTTTTTGAACTATATAACTGGATATCTTCATTTATTTTCATTCAATTCTGTATAAAAGGTATGTTAATAAGGTCGTTTCTATATAAATGTTTTTTATCGCGTGTTGTTTTTGATTGGTTGAATAATCAGGGTTTATTCTAAGGCATGAAACCAAACCACCTCAACCAAACTACCTCATGAATAATGAACAATATTTAGGTAAATCTGATAAAAACTTGCTGAAGTTATGGAGCTCGTAGATAGCAAATACAACTGGGGATATTTAAAAAATTATAGTTGTATATTTTGTTTTGGAATTCTTTCATATTTATTTTTATGAATTTGGCACCCTCTAAGGTTGCGTCCAAAAATAGATGTCCCCTTTTGCCTCCTACTAGCTACACCCCTGTTTCTCTTCCTCTATAAGTGTATTTTATAGATTGAAAAGTGTAAATACTCCAAAAAAAAGTAGTCAAATGTATTTTTACACTTTGTATTTTAAGTAAAAATTTAGCAAAAAACTTATGACACACCAAAAATAACAGGATTTTTTTTTCTTTGCTCAGAATAGCAACAGATAAGATTAATGCATTTTCTCATTATAACAATGTTAGCTATAACAATTGCATTACTATGGTCAATTGCAGTATGATATAGTAAACTTTATCTTGAATATCTGACCAAGGACATGAATTTTTAAAACATACCTAAAATGTTGTTCATGATTTCAAATTTGGTAATTCTGTAACTCTGTAAAATTGTTGGCTAAATTAAATTTGTAACTTCTATCTTTGTGATAAATTTTTATTTACCATTAACTTTCAATGGGGGTAATTACCCGAATAATTACAAAATAAAACTTCTTAGTTTTTCTATTTATGTTATAAAAAACACATGTTCCAAATTTTAGTTTACCAACTTCATGAGAAGTGGGAGTATTATGAATCAAGGCTTTGTTTTTATGTGTACAGTCAAATATGCTAAATTTGGAAAGTCAAAATTAGTACTAATCTCTTTGCCATCTTCTATTTCATCCTTAAAAATTTGCTATAGTTTTCTAATTGTTTTTACTATACACTTATTTCACTCTTCCAAAATAAATTTCAATCTTTTAAAAAGTTGAAGTATTCTCAGTCTTTAAAAAATTCCAGCTATATATCTGTTTATTCAGTACATAGCCGTTATTCTTGCAACTGTAACAAGTTGTGAAAAATGCAAGATTGTTAGTTGTCATCATACTTTGAGCTGTTGAATACCAAATTATCTAGCTTTATTGTTCCTTTTTTAAAATTATTCTTATAGATCTTTTTATAAACACTTTTAATGTTGTAAAATATTTTTTTGGATAATATAGTACAAAAAAGTACTATGTATATATATTCTGTTAAGTTACTTTTGAATTCACTTGGTGGCAGATGTTATCTCGGGGTATTAATCATCTTTAAGACATTTTGCAAAATATGGAACTGAATCAGGGTTAGAACAATTTAATTCATTGGAACATGTTTTATGTAACTATTTCACAATTTCTCTTTTATTATATTAATTATGTATTTAAAGATTGATGAAAAATATCAGCTCTTGTGATTAAGTTTAAAGAAACTCATTTAAGTTCTATTTTAGGTTTATGTATAAACTTTAAAATAAAAAGTTTGTAAAGCTGTTAAATCAAGTTAAATATTGTATGGATGAGATGCAATAAACTGTTCTCAATGGAGTTATCTGGTTTCCTAATATTAAGCCCTATAATACTTTTCTAATACACTATTTTTCAAATGCACTTGTAGAATAATTAGGAAAGCAGCCAACTTAAACTTTTGAAAAAAATTATAATCAACCTACCGTTATTAACTTTTTTATGTTTCTTGTGAAAATGTCTGAATGTTATTCTGTATTAAATGTTGTGATTTATATTTAAATTTCAATGAGAATTTAATTTTTAGGAGGTTCAGAAACTATGCCTTGAATTAGAAGGGAAACTTATTGTTGCTGAAAGCAAAAATGAAGAAAAAATGACCAAAATACGAGAGTTAGATTCTGTGATTGAAGGAAACCTTGAAACCATAAAAGTGATGACCACCGAAAATAATAATTTAAAAGATCAGCTGTCACAAGCTCTAAAAGTAGGCATTTGAAATTTTTTGTTTAAGTTGAAATACTTAAAAAAAAAAAATAGTAATAATTGATTGTTTCATATTATGTTTAAAAACTTAGCTATAAAATTTTCTTTAGCATTTAGCCAAAAATAGTAGCTTATTTTGAATGAGCTTTGCAGAGTATGTGCCTCAGTGTCTTTATTTTGAGAGTGATAAAACATTTTTATTTCTTAAAACATGAAATTTTGCCACTTATGTAAAATTATTAGTATTTTTTTACCGAATTCCGCACACACACTTTGACTTCTTATCTTTAAATAAAGGAATATAAAGAATTTAATTTTTAAATCCAATAGAAATATTTTAGTTTATTTTAATTGGTTTGAAAAATTACTTATGATTAAAGAGAGGAAAGAAAATATTTTTTCAACCATTCAAAATATGACTCGAATTCCTTATGATGACAAATCTGTTACTAATTTATGTTTTTAATTACCAAATATAACATTTCCAAATGAAAGATAAAATCATATTTCTATGATTCTAAAGTATTTTGAAAATTGTTAAACTTAATTATGCTTAATTATTTTTCGATAAAAAAATATGGGATAGCTCTCCTTAACAGAATTTATGGATTGAATCTGCAGCAATATCTTCATAAATCTAAATTTGTCTGCAACTTCAACGCAGTCAAACAAAGATTATTTTTGTAGAAAAAAAGTTACATTTTATACAAGAGTTGAAGGAAAAGTGAAATGTGCCACTGTATAGTTAAGTCTGTAATCAAGTAACAGAAAAAAAATTCTTTACTTTTTGTTCTGCCCGATGTTCAATTCAGCCTCTTAAATTTTATTTGTAACAAGTTAAGAGATACATTAAAAGGAAGTCTGAGCAATTTTAACCCTATTTCTTTGTTTGCTTTCAAAAAATAAAAAGATTACTTAGATGAAAAATTTTCAACAACTGCTGTACTGATCTTCAGCGCCTGCTGCCGGGATGAAGAGTTTCTACTACCGGGTTGTAGCCTTTCTTTTATTTGTTGTGCAACAGACACCAATGTTTAGCTTTGTGTGAGGAATCTCAAATTTGTTTGTAAATTTGCAATATTTAATTTAATAGTATTGTAGTATTTTGACAACTAAAGTGATAATTGCTGCTATTTTATTTTACAAAAGGTAAATAATTATTGTGTTTAAATTATATTTATTTTAATATTCTGAAAATGGAGAACAATAAGTGAAAAGATATTTTATATCTTTATATGAATATTTACCCTTTTACTAAATTAAAAACTAGGAATTATCCTTGTTTTTATTTATATTATATCCATATTTTTTTTAATACAGTAGAGAACCGATTATCGGGACCATCGTGATTCCGGATAACTGATTTTTCTGGTTTTCTGAATCGCTACAAAATACCATTTTTTTTAATGTTTAAAAAACAAAACTAAAAAATTATTTTGAAATAGTTTTAGAAATAATAAAAAATGATAAATAATAATACACTTAAGGTTAAATAAGGAAAGAAATTATGAAATAAAAATTATATACAGGCTTATATATGTTATTAATGTTATTATTAACATTAATAACATATATAAGCTATTTGTGCTTATGTGAGATTCGTCTACAAACGGCTTTTGATCCGTCCTCTAAATCAGTTCTTTCGTCAACTCGATACGCCGTACGCTCTAAATAACAAAATGGGCTCAAAATCTTGCAAGAAAAAAAAATTTTTTTAATGGAAGAAAATTAATTTCCGGTTCCGAATTTCATTCCGGTTATCTGGTTTTCCGGTTTTCTGATTTCCGGATAAGAGGTTCTGCACTGTATTTCAAAATTCCTCTTTTTTTTCATGTGTGTTTTCTATACAAACTTTATGTAAACGTAATTTATTTTTAATTCTTTTTAATTTCTTTTCCATTATTTCTTTCACCAAATATTTATATTAACTTTTCCCAAAAAAAACTACTTAAGTATAATAAACTTAACATTGCTAGTTAATCTATTTGTTTTTATTATAATCATTGTTCATATACCACTATATCCTCATATGCCTTGCATTAATTATGTTCAATTTCTCCAGGATGAATCAAAGAAAACGCTTTTAGATTTAGAAATGGCTGATTATGAACGCAGTGTTTCTGAGTTAAATAGCAAGCTATCTGCTAAGGAAATAGAAATTGCTGATCTCAAACAAAACTTGTGTTCTGAAATTGAAAAATGTGAAAGCCTGCAGGAAGAAATAAGTGAGATTTTAGATGCTTAATATCTAATTAGAGGTGCTGCTAACTTGATATTATTTATATTTCATTTTAATCACATTAACGGCTACACCGTCTGCTATTTATTGCTCCTGGTCCTTGGAGTTTTGAAGTTCAATTACTCAAACTAAATTAGAAATGTATACAAAACAAGATGCGTTGTTCATATTTTCTTCTGTGTTCTCCAAATAAAATAAGGGAAAATAATTTGCCGAATAGGAGAAATATTTGGAAGTTCACAGTCACCTCCCATCCTGACACTTCTGTATCTAATGTTTAAGGTGATAACATAAGACCACAAACTTAAAAAGGAATTACTGCATTTCCAGCAATTTTCCTAAATTTTAAACTAAATTAATTAGAATTTTTCTCATAATGAGAAACTTTTTTAAAACAGAATCCATACATAAATATATTGCAAATAAAATTTTAAAATGCTTGAAAGTGATTTTTTTTGCGCGTTTTTCCTCCAAAAACATTAAATATGGAAGATGTTGCTCTGATTTCAAAAGTTTATTTTTTTCAGATAAATAGAGGCTCTGTAACTCTGCTCTTATAGTTTTTACCTTCGTTTATTATGAGATTTAGTTCTTGTATTTTTTATTATTTTTTTAACACCAAACTCTATTTATGACTCCATTTGGTTTGGTCGCTTAGAGCAAAGGTTGACAATCCATTGAGGGTTATGTCGTCTGATTTACATAGGCTGCCAGCCAGCCACAGTCTATTTCATACAAATAAATTTTAAGAAATTAATTCATGCTTTCATATCAAATTATACTCATAAGGTATAAGAATTGAGTAAGGCATATTTATAACCAAAAACTTATTTGTTAAACTATTTCACTGAGGTAAGGATTAAAAGTGCGTGAAAGGGATTTTTTTGTGTGAGTTTTTCATCCAAAAACATAAAATTTGGAATGTGCTACTCCCATTTAGAGCGTTTACCTTTACCTTTTTCAGATAAATACAGGTTCTGCAACTCTGCCCTTATGGTTTTTAACTCCTTTTCAGTTCTTTTTCCCCCTTTTGTTTTTACATCAAACTTTGTTTATGACTCCATTTGGTTTGATCACTTAGAGCAAAGGCTGGCATTCTTCCCTCTGTGGAGGGTCATTTTGTTTAATTTAAATAAGCTGGCAGACGTAATCTTTATTCCATGCAAATGAATTTTGGTAGAAATGGTGAATATGATATTCATGCTTACGTATTAAATTATACTCATAAAGTGTCAAGAATTGAGTATGGCATATTTATTACAAAAAACTTCTTCGTGAAACGATTTTAGTGAAGGAAATACTATTTTTGCATCGTTAAACTTTATTTTCACTCAAAAATATTTTAGAATTCTAATTATGAGACTACTTTGAATATATAAGCAAGACTAACTTTAAATGATTATTTATAGAAAGTACAGAAACATTGAAGGAAACTCAAGAGAAGAGAGCTGCTAATCTTAAGGATGTTCTTGATAGAACTAAAGCTGAATTGTTTGTCGCAAAAGAATTGGAAACTGATTTATTAGCTAAGGTTTCTTCTCTGCAATTACAATTAGAAATAATAATGCAGCAAGAAGAAAATTATAAAGTAATGCTTTAAGTGTTTTTTTAATTTTTTTTTTTTAAATTTATATACCTGAGTACTTTTTGTGTATCTTAATTATTTATTTAAAAATGCTTTTTCTTCAGTTACAGTTATCTGAGTCATCTTCCGAAATTCAGCATTTAAAAGAAATGCTCAAAACATCATCAGAAAATAATCAACGAATTGTACGCTCCCTTGAATCCAAAATTGCTATTCACCAACAAGACAAAATTTCTTCTGACAGAGAAGTTGAAGCTATCAAACAAGAATTTGAAAATTATAAGGTCATTAATTACTCATTGTCAATTAATTATAAAATAAAAAAATGAATTTATATGACTGCTTTTGTTAAATCTACATGTCTTTCAAAAGTTTTCCTTTCTTCTGGAATAGTTAATTTTTTGGTCTCCTTTTTACCTCACTATTGTGACAGCTATAATTTATTTGATGAGATTAAGGAAATTTTTTTTTAAAAATTGCGAATTTATAAAAGAATTATAAATCTGACAAGGAATCTTTTAATTTAGTTTTAAACCAGATTATACTCCTTATAGATATTGATAAAAAATTCCCCTAAGGAATTTAACTATTTTTAAAATTTTCGTAGATAAGAAAAATAATATATAACTGTACGAACTCTCGATACTGATTCGCTGAACAGATTAACTAGTTGTTAAGTCTGTTTATTTTCAGATGAATATAATGTGTTTCTCTTATTTACCTATTAAATTTTCATTATTCAACATGTTGTAGGTTCGAGTTCATAGCGTGTTAAGACAACAAAAATCGGGAACTCCATCAGTTTCACCCATTGACTCGGATCTGAAGGAAAAGCTTGAGACAATAGTAGACAAACTAAAAATACAAGTGAAGGATCTAAAGTAAGGATTAAAATTTCCATTCAGTGTATACATATTTTTTTCTTTTTTTTTTCCTCTTGCATAATACGGCAGCACATTTTGAGCTTTTTTTGTAGACTGCTTCATTAGAAAAAGAAAATAGGAAATAGTTATAGAAAGCCTGATAGTATGAAGTGTAAAATTTATATTTAGGTTAATTATATCCATCTTAAATAGAAAAATATTTCTTATTAATTTTTTAACATGGAAGTCCCTGTTTTTGTTGCTCATTCCAGTGAACTCCCTCTGTTTTCACAGCAAATTTTATCTGGCCATTCATTTTTATATGGATACTTACACTGCATTGGTGAAATCAATACTTCTGTGTTTTGTGCCCTTTGAGCAAAAATATTTATTTCTTATATCTGATGAACTTTTAAACTTTTTTTATAACTTTCATGCCTAGCAATTAGTCTTAAATAGTCATTGCTTATTTAATACACTTAAAAAAATCTTCTTTCAATACTATGGGGAAGAAATATGACCATGGGGCAATTCCACAAGTTACAAGTATCATATTTGCCGACTTTAAAAACACGTAACTCAGTTTAAAAGAGGAATAAAAACATTTCAATAGTTTTTATTAAAATGACTCTTTGAGTCAGCATTTACACTTACTCTAATTTTTAGTAATTTATATTTGTATTAAAAAAATTTAAAAACTGTCTGTTGTAGATGTAACACAGTATGTCACATCTGTAACAGACAATTTTTAAACAAAAATTTTAAATTTCTAAAAATAATAAAAATTAAGTAAGGAATAAATGTTTCAAAAATATATTTATTAAAAATGTTGTGTGATATAGATCTAATCTACATAAACAGTAATATATAATTTTTGTTTATATAATTTGTCTTCTGAATCTTTTAATTATTTTAGTGAAAAATTAACTGCTGTGTCACTAGAGCATGAGACTCTACAAGAAGAATATGAAAATCTTTTACAGAGGTATAATAAAGCTATGGATGAAAAAGCAAAAAAGGACTCTGAATGGCATTCTAGGTATTTTATGAAGGATTTTAAATTTCATTCATAAAAGAAGGATCAGTAAATTTATGTTGCACTTATTTAAAAAGATTTGTTATCGCCAATTTATAAACTTTGGATTTTCATATTTTTAAAATTATTATCAAAAATATGTACATTTGGAATAATGTATTTGGTATATTGGTATTTTCCTTTTCAACTGAAAATTTTTTTATTTAATTGTTTATTGATAAACTATAGCGAATAATAACTGAAATCTTAATACAAATATATCTCAAAAATCTGAAGATTAAATTTCATTTTTTTTTGTGTGATGAGTCATGGGGTAAATGACAATTTGAGGTTTATTATTGTGTATTGAAATTAATTATAATACATTAAAATGTTGATAAAATTGTTAATTATTTTTGTATGACATTCACAAAAATTAAGTGTGTGGCCCATTTCTTTTGTTCTTATAAAGGGTTGGTCTTACTGTCAACAATGCATTTAAAAAGAAACTAATTAAATATTTGTCTTATAACAAATACAAGACTGGTGTTATTTTAACGAATCAAATACATTGAAGTATTAGTGTTGTAATATTGTGTAAGAGGTGACCATTCTTAAACTTTCTGTTTATTTCTCTTAATAAAAATTCATTTATTGCCTATATATTTATGCATATATTGTACTAACAAATTTTTAAATTAAAATACCAACCATTTTCATTCATTTTTAAGACATATCCAAGGTAAATGTTTCATTGTTAAAGATAAACAAATAATGCAAAGAAACTTATTATTGAAGACTTTAATATTTTGGTTTCATCAGTGAGGAACACATCTAGGAAACATTTATTTTTATTAATAAATTTTAGTACTTATCTCTCCAATGTTTTAAATCTGAAACCATCTCAAAAGACTCTTAGGTTAACCAATGATGTAAATACGTCTTTCTTATGGAATCAATTTTTTTCCTCTCACAGTTTAACACATGCAGAAATTTCAAATTTTCAATTGTTTTTAAATTGTAAAAATTTTAATACCTTATAAAAAATTTTGTGAGGGCCATATTGAAAGCCCTCCAATTTAGATACCCCCACTCCTGTTTTTCAAAGAAATGTCAAAGCTTTAGTACCAAACATCTACTAACAAAACTTCATTGTGGCCACTAAGATCACAATGATATGTGTCTTTTTTTTATCACAGGTGTGACATGATATAACTAAATACCAGGAACTGAAATCATGAAATATTTTATATCAGTTTTAACTCAAAATTTAATTGAATTAAGATATTTGAGTGTTAGTCTCCTCTTTCAAATGTAAACTTTTATGTAGAAAAATTTTTGCTGATGTATAACTCTTGTTTTCCACATAGTGGTACAAATGCTATATATAAAAAGAAATGTTTTTATATTAAAAAAAAATATTTATTTATTAATTTCAAATGGTAGAGATGAATTGACATGTTAAAAAGCAAAAACATAGGAACAAAACAAGAAAGTAAAAGTGGAATGGTGTTCTGTCGAAGATCTCTCCACACTTTGGTTTTTACCCTTTCTGATAATTGGTGATGGAAATCCCCATTGTGTTTTGATCTAACAATCCTTTTTAAAGTTGAAAAGGGGACTGGGCTGCTAAGAGCCTGGAGAATTCTTGTGCCTCGCTTTGCCAAAACATTAGCCCTCTCATTTCCTGCAATATCACAGTGCCCGGGAATCCATTGTAGGGCTGCAGTTTTACCAAATTGGTGGAGTTTATGTATCGCATCCTGACATTTTAGAACGTCGCAAGTGGAAGGGCAATACATAGATTCAATCGAGCAAAGCACCGCCTTCGAGTCTGAAAGGATAACTACATTTGAAAAAGACTCAATAAAACAAAAAAGCTGTTCGAGAGCAATACAGATAGCATTGCTCTCGGGCAGCTTTTTTAAAAAAATATTCTGATGTTGTTTTTTCCTGAACTCTTTATCTTTCCTATTAATGTCAGCCTGCTTTTGAGTTTAAATTTTATATTATTTCACTAATATTCAAGATTCTCTATTTATTAGATTGGAACAATTGAATACTGAAAAGAATCAATTGCGAATAGCACAAGAAAATTTATCTTCTCAACATTTACTTCAAAATGAAATGTTAGTTTCAACTTATAAGGTAATATAATCATTTTATTTCTTTTAAGAATAAATTTGAAGAAAAAAATGTTTACATAACCTTATCTATGTTTTTAATTTTCTAATTATGTGAGGGGTAATAGTGACTCAGAGTAAAAAAGCCTGTAAATTTTATATGCGAAAAATATTTATATGTCATTTATGTTTCATATTTAGCGTAATTTTTTAAACTGAGATTTAAAATTAAATTACCAACCAATGAAGAATATCACACCTTGATAGTGACTAATTTAAGAGAAAACTTATTTCTCATGAGAATCGTAATATTGGATTTTGAAATCATGCAAATATGATTCGCGAGATTGGATTTCTGAAATGTAAAAATACAGTTCAATTTGTGATGTTGAATTTTTAAATCGCTTGAATACGAATTGCGATACATAGCTTTTGAATTGTTTATGAACTAAACTTGCAGGTTCTTTTTCAAATTTCCATAATGTAAAATAGATTTCACACTAAACTTTCCGTCGCAGAAAACAAATTTGGTTATTCCACATACTTATGCCACATCACAAACAAGAAACAAAAATATAAAGAAATAATAGTAAATTACATCATTCAAAAACCGCTCCGCTACCTCCAAAACATTCCGATCCTCCCCATCTCCTCTATTATTCAATTCTTATGTTTTTGTTGCTATCTCGTAGGGCCATATTGAGGTGTCAAACCTTACAGTATGTATACGAAAATAGGTGGTTGATATTACAAAGGGTAAATCTGAGTCACAATATTGGATTCTAAAACTGCATGAATGCAAATCGCGACATTGAATTTAAACTGTTAGGTGGTTCATACTGTTAGCATACAAACCTTACAGTATGAATATGAAAATTAGTGGTTGATATTACAAAGGGTAAATATGAGTCACAATATTGGATTCTAAAAATGCATGAATGCAAATCGCGACATTGAATTTAAACTCTTTTGAATATGAATCACGAAATTGGATTTTAGAAATGGATGCATTCGAATTGCGATATTGATTTTTTAAATATGCAAGTACAAATCGGAATATCATATTTTTAAATTCCATGAATATGAATCACGTTATAGATGCATTTATCCAAATCCCTTTGTCTATTTATCCAAAATGCTAACTGTCATCAGTATCATAATCTAATTTGAGTTATTTCTTTTGACTTAAGTAATCAATGCAAGGTTTAACAACAATAGGTAAACAATGCAATTGCTAACTTTGTTAAAGAATAAATTTTTTTTTCATGGCAACAGGTCAAGAAAAATTTTACTGAACATTTTTGTATTACTAGGTATACTAGGGGAGTTTGATAAAATTCTGCAATTTTCCCCATTTATAATAAATCTCTCCTAAAGGTTGTGAAAAAATGAAGTTGACTAGGGAGAAACATATCTTGAAGATTAGAAAGTATTTTCTTATAAGTATTTTCTGTAATTAAATGAACCTATAAATCTTTTTTTTATCAAAAACAAGTATGTTATGGTTATACTCAAAAAATCACCTATATTCCCAAAGCAGCTCATGCATATCATAAAAGGCTACTAAAATTAGTACCCAGTGTCTGGAAGTATAACCAGGCACCCTGCCCCTGGGGATTATATCAGGAGACTGGTCCTCCAGGTTGGGGGCTGGGCATATGGTTTAACTTTGAACTGTACAAGATTTATAAAAACCCTGATTTTATTAAATACATAAAAATGAATTGGATGACCCACGTGATTCGAATGTGCGATGACAATACAATAAAGAAGATATTGCTTTTTAGACCAACTGGAACAAGAAAGCAGGTAAGGCAGAATTAAAGAATTAGAGATCAAAGATAAATCAGAAGTAAATACGGAGAAATCTTCAGAGGATGGCATTGGCCCACATTGAGCTGTCTGGCCAACTATGATGATGATGATAATTAAAATATTTCTATGAATAGTTTGATTTACATAGTGATTTAGCAGCTTTATTAATGATTTTTTTAAAATTATGATACTGGTTATAACACTAAGAATTTCCATTAGTGATGAGTGGAAACTCTTTTTTTAAAGTTCAAGAATGAGATCAGTAAGATTTTTTTTAACCCAAGCCAAAGATTTATTATGGTAGAAAAAAAAAATTCACATATAGCCAAAACTTGTAAGGTTTGAGAGAAGAGAGGCTAAATAAAATACATTATTGAGATTACTTATTTACAAATTGATTTTTGTATATTTGTTTAGTTTGAAATTATACGAAAACTTCATAATAAGCTGAGCCCCGAGTCCTTTCGATTGTAAAGGCAGCTTTCAGATAATATACTGATAACTGTGTTGGACTGAGTCTGTATTATATCTAGTTCCCATGTTCCTTAAAAATTAAGTTTCAGGATTTAGTTTTCACTTCTAAATTTACAAATTCACTGAAAGCTACTGAGTTATTTAAGCAGTGATGTGTTTTCTTTAAAATGGAAGCTTACCTTTCCATATTATTCTTGTGTTTATTGTATATTCACCTCAAATTTCATAGCTGTAAATGTCACATTTAACATACATATTTAAAAACAAATACATTGATTTTCATACACTCTTGTTTTGTGCAGAAATTGTGGTAGATAATATGTGTTACTTGTTTGCTACTCTTGGAGATTCAAGACTAACACATATAGGCTAGCCAACCAGTTTGTGGTGGTCAACTTGTTTAATTTGTGATTGAAAAAATTAACATTTATTTTTATTTATTAAAGTTCCTTTCACATTAGGCACATTGAGTGTAAATTAATTTTATGTATTAATCAAGTTTTGATTATGCTTTGTCAAATTTTAAAATCATTTTTAAATAAAATTTGGTCGTATTGTTTCTGTTTTGTTATGAGATGTTTTCCTATAATTTTTTGCTTTTATCTCATAATTGTTGTAAAGTACAGTATTAAATACATATCTAGAATGTATATATTCAGTTTTAAATATTGATATTTCTTCTTTTCTTTTTAATCCAGAAACAAATCAAAATAATGAGTGAGGAACACAAGCATACTATAAATGAACTGCAAAAACAGCTTGAATCTTCTGATCTTGAAATCTCCAGACTACAGAGAGATCAACAAAAGAGCTATGGGACACCGGCATCTTCATGCAATGAAACTCCACTACCATTTGATATTCTCTCTCAAGAGAGACAAGAAGGAGAGGTTCATATAAAAACAATTTCCTTATTTCTTTTCTTAATTTATCTTATTTCTTAAAATTTCCTTAATTCTTTTATGTAATTGAAGTTGTTACTGCCAAGCTCCTGTAATGCTTAAATTTGTTTCTTTTTTTTTTTAGATATAATTTTTTTAAATATTTATTTATAATTTTTGTTGTCTTATTGTAAATTACTCTTACTAAATAGTTATAAATGTATACTAACTTTTTACTATAAATATGATATTTAAATCTTTTTCTTCACATTTTTGTTTTAAACTCACTGATTTGAGATGAATAATATATTCTATTTATTTATTTATTTTTATAGGGTTCAGAGTGTACTGATGATGTGAGCACTCCTATTCATGTAATTAAACATTTTCTATGTTTCTTTATATAGCCATATTCATTTTTTATTATAATAACAGTTTTTTTATATTACAAAGTTGTCATATGTCCAGTCATAATTATGTAACCACATCCTATTTTTGAAACCAATGGGTGACAACGAATCACAGGTGGCAGCATTAGCAGTAGAGATTATAAAGTGTGTGAGGTGTTTATAAGAGGTTTTAAAGTTTTTTTCATCAAGTAATTTTTTTTTCTAACAATGATCATGGTGAAAAATGCCTTATTCACCAAATTTTGATGCCCACTAAAGTGTAGGTAAACTCTGAAGTCAGATTTGAGTATTCAATTATTGATTAACTTTAGCATTTTATACTGCATGCAAACTTTTCCTGTAAACAAATTGTGTTTTAAATACAGTAGTGTGCCGATTATCCGTAACCATCAAGACCAAGTTTTAACGTTTATAAATAAAAAAAATTTCTACAAAATTATGCATAGAAATTATTACCTGTTAAATTGTTTTCCAAATTAGAGTAGAGCACCGATTACCTGGACCAATTGCGGCCAAAACCCATCCGGGTAACAACAAATTTGTATAATTATACAACTTTTATGAAGGAAAAAGCTATGAGAATGCTGAGTAACTTTCTTTTAAATTTTTTTCAGGCTTTAGAAGGACAATTATAGTGATGCCTATTGTAAAATATTAAGAGATAGTGTGTTTTAAAGTCTTAACCTTTTTTTAAATTTATTTTCTACTCCAATTCTTGAATAAAGGAGAAACGTCTTTCCTTGCTAGAAACTACCTATTACCCACATTGAAACTGTGTGAGAAAAAAATGTTAGATTCTGTTAAAGATCCCCAAGTGTCAAAAGAAATCATTTTTCAACCTTTTCAGATATTTTGAAAATAGAGAAACGTTTTTGAGAAAATTGGTGAAAAACAAGTGATCCTTGAAGGTTCCATGAAATTGAACAATACTCTAACTCTTCTTTTGGATAATCAGCACTCTCTACTGTATAATTAAAATACATCTTACTTTTGTTGCAGAAAAAAGTTTTAAAATTTCATTTTTGTTTACTCGGAACATCTGCTCTTGCACCTTAGAGCTCAAAGGTCAAGAAAACTGAAATGGGCACAGTATGCCTTGGCCCTCTATGGGCTGTTCCGCCACTGAGTTTAGTTTTACTTTTGAACAAATAATTTCATAAATGGCAATGCATTTTTCTATTCATTATTTAACTTTATTTTTTAGGGACTAAATCATTTTCTGTTAATCAAGTTTTATAAGTTTGTTTTGTGTAAAATATATTATTGTTTGTGCATTTATCTATAGAAGTTTTCAAAAGTGCTGCCTAACCAATAAAATTTTTATGTATTATATGCATTTATAGGATAATCTCATGACTATAAATCTTAACCTTGAAAAAAGTTGCAAATATCTTTGATAGAATAAATGCTTTTTGCTATCCAAATTAATTTTGCAATTTGTATTCAAAATCCTTTTTTTAAATGAAAGTTTATTACATGTTAAATTTGCTTTATTAATCTTTACATATTTTTTTAGCCATTATCTTTGAGTACTATTCCAACTTCTGGTTTCTTGCCCTTTGAAAAGTTATTGCAGACATCTCTTGAACCAGGAAGTAATAAAATGTTATATATATATTCTGATTCATGTCATAAAATGTTTCTATTGCACATTTTTCATAGATTTTGGCTTATTAAAATATATTAACAGCTTTTTAAATTTCGCTTTTATGCTTAAAAAAGTATGTTAAAAAAAAGTATAACTGTTAAATGATACTTATTTAGAATTTAGCATCATACATAAATTTACTTTTTTAAATGTTCTATTCTATTTGATATTCTTCTTCTTATTGTTTATCGATAATCCTGTAATGATAAATATCGCTTTGATCATTTAATATTTTATTGCTTTTGGGAGTTATATCCTATGTTCTATCTTTATCTGTCAAAGCTATTACATATTATTGCTTCTTTGCATTTAGGAAATGAATGTTGTTTGTTTCAAATTTCATTTATTATATATACTCAAGGAGTTTGTTGTTATTTATTTATTTATTTTAAAAATTTTGCAGATTTGCTTTCCTGTATAAATATTAACCAGTTTTTGATTTTAGTTGTCCTTGTCCCTTTTTATTACTTTATAATTAATTCCTGAATTTCATTGCTTGAATTATTCGAACATTACTTTATAAGTAGATAAAATCTTTTATTCATCAACATGATTTTGAATGTTAAAAACTTTCTTTTCAATATTGTAGCCTGAAAGTTTATTGAAATATTAGAAAGTCAAAAAACAACAACGTTCTTAAAGAAGAGAAAGAAAACTTTTTCCTTTCAAATTTTTATTGATATAATTTCAGAAATGGATAAATAGTTGGTTAATTATGTTAGTTAAGTAATTTTTCATTTATTTTGTGATAAACTTGTTCAAAAGGGAATATCTTTTGTAAAGTTGTGGCTTATGGAACAAAATACATATATGTGTGTATGTGATATGAAACTACTCTTAAATATATTTCCAAACAATAATTTAAGCCAATTTAATATTATATAAAATGTATGAATTTTATCCGAATGTATGTAATTGTAAAGTAAGTACCTGAATGTTTTACCAATAAAAATAACTCGTAACCGCACTATCTATGCAGTTTTTTTTATTGGACTCACTACCTTAATAAGACTTAATTTTGGGGGCCTAAAGACTTAATTTGCATATTATAATTGTACTACTTACCTTTCTTAGTATAATTAACTTTTGAAAATGATTGAAGCAAAACCAAAATATTCTTATATGTTAAAAATCAATATATTGGAAACTGAAACCCAAACTCTTATTATTGATCTTAATTTAAACCAAAAACCTTGTATGAATTTTTTTTCTTCTTGTTAAGATATGATTTAGTTCTTATTGTCAATATTTAGTTGTATTTCTTTCAACTTTTCTGAAATGAGAAAAACCTATGATATTTATGTGTTTTAAATGAAGAAAAAAATCTTCTTTTTTTTAATGTTTAATGGAAATTCATCCATTAATCTTTTTGTTTAAATGTTTCAGTTTGCTTTCTGAATTGTTTCTTTAATTATATATTGATTCAAGACAAATAAAAATTTAGTAAAAAAGTTATTTAAAGATTTACTAATTTATTAAAGATTTCAAACTAAATTTTTAACAGCCATGAAAAACACATTTGAAAAGTTCTTAAAAGGACCTTGAATTTTAATATAAGTTAGAGTGAGAACCCTATATTAGAACTGTTAATTTGTACTTTTCATTTTACTAAGTTTAGTGTATTTTTATTGTTCAATTAAATTTTTCGTTTATATTCAATTATAAACTTTCTTATTTTATAGCTCCCATTAACTTCATGCAATGTAATGATTGTGAAAAACTTATTTCTGATTTAAATGTTGCAAATAAGAAGATTGATCATCTTAGTGAAGTAAGCAGCCCAACTATGTTTTCTTTTTAGAAAATAAGAAAAGAAAATCTTGCTTGCATAATTTATTTACAGAATATTTTCATATTTCATAATATTAGTTAATTCATAACATTATTAATTATATTATTAATAAATTAATTCATAAAAATATAATTCATTATAATTTTATCATATTCTTGCCAATTTTTAAGTTTTGTTAATTATGGAGAATAAATATTTATTGAAAGAAGTGATACAAATCCTAACCTGATTGTTTTTCACACAAGATTCAAAACAGATGCATTTATTATTAATTCTTTAAAAATTCTCAGTTATCAATATTTAAGAGCTTATTAAAAATAAATTTTAAAATTAAGCTTTTTGCCTTATTTTTTTCGTAAAGTTAAGTTTGTGAACTGAATAAATTTGTAAATGTATTTTCTATTCATTTTTTCAGTTGCCATTGATGAAAAAAAGGAAAATTAAAACACTATCCATATATTGGGTGTGACAAGCATTAGACGTCTAAATTAAATCTCTTGTAAAATTAACATGATATTCAGATGTACAAAATTCATTTCCTTTTTAGCATAATTTTAATTTTAAAAATTGGGTAATAAACCTTAAAATTGTAAAATATGAAAGTGGTCTAAAAATTGAATAGTTCTGTTATTTATAACTTTCTTATATTATATGTTTGAATCGTTAATTTAAAATGAACCAGAAAAAATAATGGTCTTCAAAATTAAAATATTATTATATAAATACTATAATTTAATACCTATCTGAGGTTGCTTTAAATTTTATAAAATTAATTTATTTTTACTTTACCTCACTTATTTTTGCATGTCAAAACCACTAGTAGTAAGTGATGATATTCTATCATATGATTTATTTCATTGAATATATCCATTTAATCCTTTCCTTAATTCGGTAGTTTTCATGGATTTGTGTTTTTTCCCCATACCATTTCCTGTTTCAATCCTCCCAAAGCTTTTGATTTCTCTAAAAAAATTTAATCCACAATTGCAACTTTGTTCATGTGTGGCTAGAATTTCTCACCTTCCTATAACACATTTATTTTTCTTCAAATTTAAATTATGAAATTATACCAAAAAAAATTGTATATTTGTGTCACTGTCATGCTGGAAGTTATAATATTTAAAGCAGTTATCAAATAACAATATATGTTACACATAATTAATTTTTGCCCAAACTTAAAAACTTTTAAGCACAATTATATATATGTATATATGAATAATTGTATAAAATTATATATATATATGAAGTTAGTTGTAAATTGTGGTGGAAAAAATTATTCTAAATTTAATTTATTAACTCAATAATTAAATCTCAACTCCTTTTATTAACTCTATAATGCTAAATTAGAAAATTTATTACCTCACCGAATATCCAAATAGTCCAAAAGTTTGCAAGTATGTATTTGACAATTAAAAGTTTGATTTCAATAAGTATTTATTATAATTTTTAAAAGAGTGCTTTTTACATGTTTTAATATTATAATGATTCTCATTTTATGATTCTGACTGATTTTATAATCATAGCATTTATCTAGTGGTTGTTATTATATATCATTTACATTTCTATTTAAGAAATGATAATTTGTATGTAAATATAAAATCTCTTGTTTTCCTTTTGTTTATTTATTAACATTTAATTTTTATATCAGTTAGTGATAATATTTATACTTTCAGGTTCTGAATGAAAGTGAAAGTACGAATTTACGCATGAGTGAACAAGTACGTGTTCTGAAAGAAGAAGTCCGACGATTGGAAAGAAACAAAGAGAGGGAAGAACATGCTGAAAATTTAGAATATTTAAAAAACATTTTTATTAAAGTATGAAATATATTTCATATTTGACTTCATATACTCATACACTTCATATTTAAAGTTTTCTTTTTAAATGTTGATCATGTGGCTAATATTTGGAAATTTTTATTTTTTGATTTTTTCAGTTTTCCACTCTGCAGGCAAGTGCTGAGAAGGCAATGCTAATACCAGTTTTGACAACAATGTTAAAGTTAAGTCCATCCGAACAGCAACAACTGAAAAATATTGCTGGTGGTAAGTTCTTTTATTTTTTTTATTTCACTTTCTTTTTTGTAATGTTTTTAAATTGAATAAATATAAAGAGAAGAGTATAAAATTTTATTTTGATATTAATAAGATGCTTTCTAAGATTTTGTATATATATAACATAATAAATAAATACAAAAAAACACGTAGAAAATTAAGGAAAACAATAAGTTTCATTTATGGCGCATAAGCTGCAAATCCGGAAAATAAAAGATGTAATCTTTTCATCAGCCCACACGATTATATCCGCAAAAAAAAGAGTGCATTCTAATATTATATCAATATAGCCAAAGCAAAATATATCAGTACAATAGTGTGAGGAGCAGTCAAAAAATTTTTACAAAAATTATAACAAATTTGTTATTTATTGTGTTCTACTTTATTTGTTGTAATTTTTTTGTAAAATTGCTTGAGTGCTATATATTTTGCTTTGGCTATATTGATATAATATTAGAAAGCACTCTTTTTTGCCGATATAATCGTGTGGGCTGATGAAAAGATTATATGAACCTTCATTTTAGATATTACACACACACACATATATATATATATATATATATTTAACAAAAGCTCATTTATACACGATTCACACAGACTCAGTTTTTGAACCACACAGGTTTGCTTATACATTTCCAACTGCCTCTTCCTTTGCATCGAAATAGTGCTAACGGTTTAATTACGGAGGGAGCGACATCTATTAGTCTTTGTTGGTTTTCTCTTACAGAGGTTGTTTCGTTTGTCACACACACACACACATATATATATATACTTAACCCTTTCAGACAGAGATTTTTTTTGCAGCACAATGTTTTTTTTTTCCATTCATAATATTACGAATAAGTTTTTTTTTAAAAATCTGGACTCACTTTTTGCAGTTAAGCCGTGAGACATTGATGTCCCTTTAGCCTTTTTGAGTGACTAATTACAAATGGAACTTGACTACTGAGATATATATAGTTTGCCTATAGTAAGAACTTTCCTTGCCTCAAAGTCTTAGGTTGTCTGTTGCTAGGGAAACATGAATAGCGCATTTCAGAGAGGGGAGCTTCGATAATAGGTTATTAAGGAAGTTTACCAGATTGACTGACTCCAGCTGCCAGTCGCAGACTTATTTAATCTGATTTAAGAACATTTTTAGGAGGGCGCATGGATATTTCTTTCTTGAAATGATACTCTTTACCCAATTAATTGCTATTTTGAAGTAAAAAAAAAAGAAAGAAAACAAAAAAATATGTTCAAATAATGTACAAAAAATATGTACAAAAAAATATGTTGTATATATATGAAAGAAAGAAAAAAACATATTCTAACATTAATGGAAGGTAATGAAAGTTTGTTATTTTTTCACTTCATGCTTGTTTCTGACTATTTACGCTATTTATTATGAATATTCATTGATTTTCAGATGGATTAATTTCTTAATTTACATATTTTTTTAAAGCAGTTAACTTTTTTTATTAGTTGAATTTTCTGGTAAAAGTGAAACGCTTAAACTTATTTATTTTGTTTTTATCATTTAAATTGTTAATATAATGTTAATAAATTAAAGTTTTGCTCGAGATAGAAACAATTCATGTTATCTATGCCGGAGAAAAAAAAGTTAAAGGATGAAAAATCAAAGGAAAAAAAGCTTAATAAAAATATAAATTTTTTGAAAAACTTTTCTGAAATAGAAACTTTTATAAAAAAAAGAGATTAAAAAAAGGTTGAACGCTCTAAACAATGTTCCAGATGCGAATATTCATTTCTCTTCAATCTCTAAGGGTAACACAATAGGCTGAAGTAAATTATTCCTTTTCTCACGCTAACCAGAGCCAAAACCTGTCCTTAATAGTGACACCACACTCCTATTTGAAATAGTTATTCCTTGTAACCATAATCACTGTCACAGATCCAGAAGAAGCTAGGGAAGTTCGTACTATAGACAAAGTATTCATCCCAAGTCGTAAACATAAAGTTGTTTTTGTTTTCATATGATAAACTTTTAAAATCAGTCAAATTATGTTTCAAAACAATAATAATATCAAAACAATGTAAAGAATAATACTTATATCAAAACATTGTAAAGAATAATACTTATATCACTATTTCTTAGCTTTATTTCAGTTATTTTTTAACATAAAATGATGCATGAATCTTCACAAATATGTGATTTTGTCAAAGCTATGTCGTCAAGACAGTTTTGCAAATGCAGCCAACCACCTAAGTAGAAGGATGGAAGTTCAAAAGATTGTAATACGCGAATTTAATGTTAAAATGGGTTCTATTTAGTCCAACAGTCTACTTAGGATATATATGTCCTTAAGTTTCAAGAGGGTCAAACTGGTTTGCTTTTTTTTTTTTTTTTTNTTCCAAGTCGTTTCATTAAATTTTTTTTTTTTTTTTTTTTTTTTTGAAAAACTGGATACGGCATATATTTTCAAGTAAAATAATTATTAACTTCTAGTTAATGAACTTCAAAGCTGAGCTTTATCTTTTGTGCTGGCTTGACAATCACAAATAATTAAAATTTAATCATAACCTTCATCAAAAAAAAAATTTTTTTTAAAGATTGAATCTAGTTAGCTTTATTTACAATTTATAATAACTGTAGAAACAAAATTTTTATTCTTTTGTTATGTATATATTTGATAAATTAAGTCTTGATACCTTCCTTAAAATAAACTGTTTAAAAATATTATCTTGTAAACTGATCGATAATAGGCTAGCAATGGCTTCCTAAATGAAAATGACAAAATCAAATTTTATTTGTACTGTTTTTTGTAATGAAATCGCCACTTATAAAATATTTAATGTAGGGTTTGCAATAGTTGTGTGCATGATAAGTTTTAATTTTAAAAATTAAAATTTTAATAATTGTTCATCTTATATTCTAGATGCTGAAACTAACGATTCTTCTAACAGTGGTTGGGGGAGCTATCTCCATAGGTGGTCAGGAATTGCCTGAAACATTTTGTTCAGATATTAGGAGAATAGGGTTTAGTTTGCACTTTATAATAAAAAATATGACCATCGAAAGTCTGTACACATATTTTTAAGGATGCTTTTTTATATTTATAGAAGGTTCTTAATGAACAGGTCGTATAAGGTTTACTTTATTAAATGGTGAACGTCGGTGATATTTATTATTTGATGCACGTGTTATTTTTTTTATGTATATTTTTGAGATTCGTTAGTTGTTATATGGCCAGTATTAATTAATATTTAAAAAGTGAAGAAATATTAAAATCGTTAAACTAATTTATTTATAATGATTTTTTGCCTAAAACTTTATAAATCTGTAAACAGTTAAATTGAACACCTTTTAAAGAATGTATTTTGAAAATTAACCAAATATTAAAAAGTTGTGTTGGAAAGCCAAATTATTTCTCAAGATTCATTAAATTATGATGATCTAATAATTATGTTGTCTTTTTTGTATAATCATGTATTATATATTTGTATTATTTAAGAAATATTTACACGCATTAAAACAGATAATTTTGTATGTTTTTTTTCCACTTGTACGCATATTACTCCTACCTACTTGTCACTCAAATGTAATTTACTAGCTGTCTACTTCTTCTTGTAACTGACTGATGTTTTTAGGTGCAAACTATTATTTTTAAAAACATTCCGTTTTCTACAGCTTGAGAGAAATGTATTTTTTTATTCCATTACTTTTTTTATTATTATAATTTAAAATCTTGAAGTATGAATATTTAAACAAACCGTTTTCAAACTTAAATTACATTCTTAAAAAACCAACTTTATGAAAACTTTCAAAATGGATGTTTTCAAAATTCTCTTATGACTTTAAACACCAATAACCTGTATAACAAGTTTTGTGATAGTGATACTTTACTATTTGCCTTGCCATATATAGAAAGCTGAAATATGTCAAAAAACGCTGTTATTCAATTATTTTATTACACTTTATTTATAACATTTATTTAGAATTTATATTAAGAGTTTATAAATGTAATCTTTAAGCTTTGTGAATGAAGTTTTTTTCAACAATACCTTCAACAAAAGGATGAATAACGCTCATATTAAAATAACTATTGTAATTTAAATTTCTAAAATTTCATTCAAATCACACTATTTGAATTAAATAGCTTAGTTTTGTATTGACATTTAACATTATGATACTAATTCTCCATAAAATTATGATAAAATCTCCATTACATCAAACCTTCTTTACAACTTGAGGGTAATATTAAACTTTATACTTCAGTCTTTAGGGTTTCTTATTTTATTGCTTCTTTAGATCAAAATTGGTAATAAAATTTAGTATACATCAGAGAGGAAATGCAAATCAAGTAAAAAACCAGTGCCTACTATATTTAAATTTTCATATAATCATAAACATTTTATTCTGTATCATTTAATAAAATTCCAAATAGCCCTCCCCTTCCTTAAAGAAATTTGGTGTTATTTTTTAAAAACCTTTTCTGATTTCACTACTTTGAAATTAGCTTTCTGCAACTTTATGCTTTTGTGTTGACAAATTTGTAACAATAGTCACTTCCCAGTTCTATTAGTGAAGAATAATTCTTTACATTTTTCAAGTCAAGCTATCAGAATCATGTTTTCCTTTTATTTTTCTTTCTCCCTTTTTCATTCTTTGTGTTTTATTTAATAGCTACTGTAAATTTCAATGCTTGCTTACTCTGAAACAATTTGTAATTTTTTAAATGCTGGCAACCAAATCCTAGGCGTAGGAATTGGTACATAAAACTCAAGAAATTATAGAAATAGTAGTTGGCTTAATTCAGTTTCTTGTAGGAATCCTACTTTGGTATATTTATATACCGAAAGAAAAAATAACTAATTGCGCTTTAAAATAGAATAAAAAATTCTTTTTTTTTCGAATAGTTTTTTTTAAAAAATGTATATCAAATGCTTTTATTGATAATAAATTAAAAATAGTGCAGTAGAGCACTGATTATCACGTTCAATCAAAAAGCTGAATAATCGGACAACTTCCCTTAAAATTTTTTCAACAGGGCAAGTCTTCTATAAAATTTTCACTGTGTGTTAAGTTTGCCACCCACATTGAAACTAGGTGGAATGAATGAAAGATTCTTTTCAAGGTCACCAAGGGGCAGAAGAAACCATTTTTCGATGTTTTTAATATATTTTGGAAATAAAAAAGCATCTTCAAAATTTTTTTTAATAATTTTTTTTTTTTGGGGGGGGGGCGAAGTTAAGAGGAAAACATGTGGTCCTTTATCAGGATAACTGCACAATTTGGTAAATTGGTGCTCTACTATACTTGTAACTCAACTTGTTGGAAATTTAAATATATTTATATAATTCCTGTTCCAATAAACGTTTCTCGAACAGCGTATTTGTTATCTTTACGAACTGCTTCATATATCTCTTAGCGTTTTAAGTTTCTGTTTTACACCACAATAGCAGTTTATTTTTTAAAAGTATAAGTTTTAAACTTTTTCACCATACATTTTACAAAACGTGTACAACATTAAAGGTAGCCCATTTGATTAACATGGACAAAATAAAAACTTAGAATTTAATTTAGTCCAGCACTCTGGAATTTTTTACATTAATTATTTTTCGGTCATTTTTAAGTAGAATTTTTCATACAAGTACTTAATTTATAATAAAACCTTAAAAATGTGATGTTATAAATTCTACTGATTTATCAATTTAGAAATTTAATGTAATCTTTTCTAAGTATTTACTCGCAATAGTTAATATTTTAAATGTTAATTATAACTGTTATATTATTCTTATAGCTAAAATTTTATTAGCAATTAATTATTGTAATAAGGTATTTTGACTCTTTGTGATTGCTGTTTATTGAAAATAATTAACAAGAGCTTTTAAAAAGCAGCTTTATTGATCTTTAAAAATGTAACAAGTAAACAAGTATAAATCTGAAGTAACGAGTTATAAATCTGAATAAGATTTATAACTTGTTACTTCAAAGTTAAATGTATCAAATCTTTAAAAAAATTTATGTTGCATCTACAAATATATTTATTTATTTTTTTTAAATTTCATTCATATATTTTTTTTTCCTAAATTTTTTTTATAGAAATATGTTTATCTATAGTAATAGGCTGGTGTATATAAACCACTTCTTAACTTTTCCTAACTTCGTGAAAACCAAAGCAAATGTGATGGTAATTCAAGAGAAAAATTGTTTAATAATTTGTTGAAATATATGGATTATTTTCTATGTATATATTTTATTAAACATTAAAAAAATAAAACTCTATGCTAAATGTAACAGTTTTTACAAGTTTTAAATCCAATCATTAGAAATATATTTTATTATACACATAAGTCTTAAATAAAATATTATACATCATTTGGCTATTAAATAAAATGCATTATAAATTTATTTTATTTTTGTCTCTAACTCATGAATTATAGTTGCACTAAGAATATGTAGTTGGGCAAAATATTTTATTGCTTTTTTCTTCTTAATATAGCCTAAATAGCATTCAATATTCCTGTGTTACTAAAATTGTTAATTTTTAAAATGTTCATTCTATTAGCTGTAAAATTGTAAATAAAAAATTTATTTATTATAAAACTTGTCTGTCTATTAATTTTTTACTCCTTTATTTTGATAGCGTGTTGCTACTTTTATTTTGAAATCGAAAAGATTCAATTTATTTTTCATATTTTTTTCCTTCATTTCTGCTTTTTTTTTTAAAGAGAAGTGTTTATTGATTATTTTTACCCATTTTAAAATAATTCCCTGTACTTTGATCACTTTATTTGATCTTGTCATAATTTAATTTGTTTGCATTTTTAAATCTAAATTAATGCATTCATTAGTAGTTAGTCACTACTTTGGTTTTTCACGTAAATGATTTAGATTTAGAACACACTATAGATACATATGAATAATATGTTTTCTTGGGATCAGGCTTTGCACTCTTCAAACCAACTTTCAATATCATTCTCATTCATTTGCCATCTTTTGGCCTTAAATATCTCGCGATTTTTGGAAATTGTATTTCTTTTTAAGTAATTTTGATTTATTTCATTTTAATGTTTTATTTTGATATAATGATTTTATGCCCTTTATTGCATCAATAAGGTTATAAGTTATAAAAATTTGACAGAAAGAAGTATAGCATGTTAAGTTATATCAATTAGAAATATCTTATTAAACATATAGTATTGAAATTTTTTATAAATTCTAAAATACGCTGTTTTCATATAAAATGCCAAAGAAAAAAAAAAGGTATTGATTCATTTTGACTGTAAACACCAAATCAAGGTATCAAAATGGCACATCATATCTATCATCTGCATATTTTTATCGATTATTTTGGCGTTATTAAAAAAGATAAACATTCAAAAGTAATTTATAATTGTTATTATTTTTCTATATTAACTCAGTCATTTTAAACTTTAGTCTGAAAATTCAATAGACAATCACCATTTAATAGATCAGACTGTAACGCAATCAGCTATTTTTCCTCTATTTAACATTTTCACACCTGTACCAAATAATCGTACTGCATTTCAAATTTTATTTGGAGGAGCAATAGCATATTATCTTATATAAGAATTTAATTTGTCGAAAACAACCCTGAATTCCATTTGCTTGTTTTCGAGAAGATTTCCATATTAATTCCTGTTCACTGTAACAACCATTATCAAGGCTCCAAAAAGTTTTTGTACTTGCAAAAATTAAAAATATATATGGTAGGTAGTGGTCTACGAGAAAGTAGCTGGGGAAGATTTACACTGCCCACGCCAAAATAATCCAATTTTGGTGACTTCCAGGTAGTGACAGATATGAAATTTATAACTTGTAGTCACTCCTGGGTAAACCTTTACCTGATTATTATTAAACATTTGCAAGTTAAAAAGACACCTTGGTTCTTTTCAGTGGTTGGTGCAAATAGATACTGATTCAGAAATAACTCCTGTGGCTACAAGTTGGTAGAGATGAACATGAAACTTATTTGGCACCGACGGAAATTGATAAATAAGGAAATCCTCCAAGGTTGGACCTGTCTGTGATTTTTTTTTTTTTTTTTTTAGTCTGTTTTCATTGCATTTAATTTCATCATTTATCACTCTTTTACATTTTAGTGAAAAATTAAAATTATCTTTCATAAGCTATACTGATTTGTTTGATAGAAATAAAAAAAATAAGCATGTATTTAATACCCAGTCAATATACACATTAAATGATTAGCTACAAAATAACACAGATTTAAATTAAGTTATATTGTTTATTCATATCTCGACCCGCCCTATTCAAGGCCACACGAGAGTAGAACATACATTCTTCATGCAAAACATACATAAAACACAAAAATAAATTAAGTTATATAAGGTTAGTAGGCCATTCAATGGCATTTTTATTTAACAATTATACCTTAANTAAAGAACAAAAATTTTGCCTTGGATTTACCTATCAAAGTAGGCCATCATTCGCTAGGTAGGAACTCAAAAATATTCGAGACTCAGTTCAAACACAGAATTGAATAGAACAATAGATAATAGTACAAGTGTACACCACATGTCGAGACTTGCAAAGTGCCGCCCGTTTGCCCGCTCGCATTTAAATACCCTGCATGATGATTTCAAAAATAGATTTAAAGATATTCTGTCGATGGAAATTCCACCATGGATCATAACCCCATTTGATGAAGAGGCGAATGTGGTTTTACTTGAGCTCAGCACTAACGAGGAACTGAAGGTGAAATTTATAAATGGCTATCAAACATTTTGGCTGCAGGCAGAAATCCCCGAAAAATATCCTGGGCTGTGGGAAATTGCGAGAAAATTTTTGATAGCGTTTCCCTCATCATATCTTGTCGAAAGAAGTTTTAGTGCTGTTACCAACGTGTTAACAAAAAAAAAGGAGCAGATTGAACATCACAGAATGGGGAGATTTGAGATAACTTCTTACAAAACAGAAGCCAAATATTGATAATTTGCTGTCAATTCATCAAGTACATCTGTCTCATTAAAAGTAGGACTATTTTTTATTGTTGATTTACATTTCAGAGTTCATTGTTGATTTTTTGTCAATTGTTTGTAATAATAAATGTTTATAATTTTGTATAACCGCAAGTATTATTTTAATAAATAGGACACAAGAAAATGTGCTACTTTTTTCTTCTTCTTAACATCCCCAATTTAGGGTGATATTTTTTAGGAGTTTTGTGAATACAGTAGAAATGTAGCAGCAGGTGGTCTACCGAAAATAATAAAACTTTGAAAGTGGTCCACTAGAAAAAAAAGTTTGGGAACCTCTGCACTAGAGTTTGCATAATAGGTTATTAGCGACAGACTGGGAAAGATGTCTGTGGATGAACAAAGAGAATTGCACCCCCTCTCGGTAGCCTGACGAAATACGCACTAAGTCGAGCACTTCACGATAGAACAGTTTAACGAGGACAAATGCAGCACACACTCGGTCCCTTCGCAGGCTGATCGAAGTGGTCACTCTCCCACAGCCAGCAGTGCCGGATTAAGCGTACGCAGGTCCCATAGATTAACGTTTTTCTCGTATATTTTTTATTTTTTCAACTATAAAAGTATTTATATATCGTTTCATTTAAGAAAGCATATTTAAAATAAAAATAAGTTAAATTTTACTTTATTTTGTTAAATTAGAACTAAAAAGTAATCGTAACATATATATTTGAAATTGATTTTTCTTTTGTTGTTTTTCTTAATTTTTTAAAATTTATTTTCAAAAAATCCATTTTAAGGGGGCTCTTAATCATTGGGGTCCCCAGTGCCGGATTACCAATTAGGCCTAGTCTGGCCTAATGGGTAATCCGGCACTGACAGCCAGTGATGCTCGAGCGTTTAGCAAGCGTGCAAAAGCGTTTAACCTATTTCTTGTCCCGCAGTGGAATGATCGTTAGGACACAATTCCCAGCGGATCACCGAAGTCCAGCATCACTGGCTGCGGTCAGTATGCGGGTGGGTGACCACTTGGATCAGTCAGCGTAGGGACCGAGGGTGTGCGGTATTATTCCTCGTTAACTGTGCAGGTCGTTGGACTACCGAAGCGGGGGTGCATCCGCTCTGCAGAGGATCGAAATTGTGATGGTATGTCTTAGATCATCCTCAGGGATGTTTCCCAAACCGTCGCCAATAGCCCATTGTGCAGCTCTAATGCGACGCAAATGACAAACAACGACAACCACAGCCTATTTCTGCTTCACTAATAGCTTTTGAGAGGCAACCAGATTTGTGGAACAGAAATAGGTGGCCAAAAGCTTATTATGTAAACAAATCATATTTTTTTTTGTCACTTTAAGCTGATGAAAAAGAATAATCAGAATTTGCTTGTGTTTCAGAAATTACGCTTTCTTAATTTTCCTACGCATTTCTTGTTTGAAAGTCATATAATAATAAAATGAAGTTTATTTTTTCCACTCAAAAATTAGAATATGCACGGAGCCTTTTCAAACAAGGCATGAAATTAAGCCGAACTACGCTACTATTTTCCCGTCCAATGTCAGTTCAGGCTTCTTTTTTAACGATACACGAAACAACCATCAAGTCATGTGGCTCTTTATACGAGAAATGGAGAGAAACCGGAAGATTCGGAAAGTTACCAAATTCGGACTTGACATTTCAAGTTAAATATTTAGATACATTGCAAGGTTTAGATCTTCCTATCAGCAACCTATCTTCTGTCCCTGTAGTTGTTGGCTTACATGGTGCTCCTGGGTCATGCAATGAGTTTAGTAATTTAGCAGAGTTTCTGCATAATAAAGGTGTTAGATTTGTTTCACCCACATTTCCAGGTACTGTTTCATAACCAAGTATTTTTCACTTTTACAATATGCATTTATTTGTGTGTATAGTGAAGGGAAACCCCACTTCTATGTAGCGACCACCTCTATCTAAGACCACTTTTGAGAGGCATGGAATATTTTCCATAGACTTTGTTTTGAAGAAAGCTTGGGAAGATTTCTGTATCGTGATCTATGGCAGATTATTCGCAGTCTTACAAACTTCCGGGCAGCGGCCCGCAAGAAACTAAAAAATTCGTCACAGAAATGGACCAACTTTAAAGGTATAACTCGTAGCCACTACCGGACTAACATCTACATGTTTTTTTTTTTTTTAAATTTGCAAGTTTAAAATCTATTTGGCATCTGATTGTAGCTGATGTGACAGATCGCAATAAAGTTAATATCCCCAAAAATCTTTTGGAGAGACCATTGAAACCGCTCCCAACAGCCGAGCAAACATCTGCATCAAATGCAGAAGTGGTTAAATAAGGAAACACAAAAAAATATCAAAACCAAAAATTTAAGTAAACAAATGAAAATAATTAGATTAAAATGTATTCAAAATATTTGTGTGAGGCTCTTATTTAGTGAGCTCTTTTTGACGATGCAACCTCATGTTGCAGTCAGAGTGTGCTAAAGACGATGCTATCTATGATTTACTTTCAACTTTCAGAGTTGAAAGTTAAATTACGAAAAACAGTTTAGAAATATCAAACAAACTTCTCATCTTTTAAAGCTAACTAATTTTTATAATATAAAATGAAAGGCAAACTTAAACAGAAAACATATTTGTTTATTTATTTAAAATAGCTTCATTATTCGTAACTGGTAAATTTGTTTTTACACATGATTATATCAGTTGGGATCATTTTTATAGATGCTTAATTTTATTAGGTACTTCGGGATTATCCCATCGACCATTTTCGCTAAACCCGATATTATCGCCAAAAGGCTGCGCAATTACGGCAAATGTTATCATATTTACTGTATAATCTTTGACTATGTTAGTTAGTTTTCTTTAGCGTGTTGAATTATACTGTTTTTTTTTTTACTCCGTTGCAAATTAATTCAAATTTGGGATTTGGTTAGCACTATAGAGATTACCATTATTTAACAGAAGAGAACACCGGGGAACTATCCAAAAACTACTACTGATTTATTTTGATTAAACAACTCTATCTGAAAGATTTCGGTATCATGATCTGCTCCAGAATAATCTCCAAGTCTTGGAAATTTCTTCTGGGCATGGACAAGGGCGCCGGCAGAATAATATAAAAGGGGGTGCAACCGTCTAACAAACTAACCCCCCCCCCATTTTTTTAAAAAAAATATTCTGTTATTACGTTTTGTTTTTTTTTTTGTTATTACATATACTTTCATCTATTAATTTTTTTCAAGATTCAGGTATAGAACAAAATAATAGGAACACCTGTGAAAAAATGAAAATATTTTATTAATAAGGAGTTGGGCCACTTTGGCCTGAATGACAGCTTGCATTCGACGTGAGATTGACAAATAAAGGTCTTGAACAAAGTTCATTGGAATTTGCAGCCATTCCTCTTGCAGGGCTGTCTCGAGTTCAGAGAGTGTGCGTGGAGGAGGAAACAGAGCACGGACTTTTTTCTCCAAAAAACCCCACAAAGGCTCAATGATATTGAGATTAGGGGACTGAGGACGCCACGTTAGATGGTCCACTTCATAATTACGCTCATTTAACCATGTTTGAACATAGTGAGACGTGTGAACAGGGGCGTTGTCATCTTGGAACACAGGACGTTCTCCCGGAAAGAGAGTATGAAGCATAGAGTGAAGATGATCTGCAAGAATGCTTCGGTAATGGTCCCCTTTGACCACTTTTTAAGACAACGAGAGGCCCCAATACACGGGCAGATATAGCGCCCCACACCATCACTGAACCACCTCCAGGTTTCACGGTTGGAACCAGGCAGTCAACATGAAATGCTTCTGCCGGCGTTCGTCGCACGAACACACGTCAAGTGGTTTGGAATAGTGCAAAAGAGGATTCATCAGATCAGATGACTTGTTCCCATTGCAGTTGTGTCCATTTTAGGTGGTCTTTGCACCACTGTAGCTCTTCAAAGCATTCCGCGCCGAAACTAACGGTTTTGGAATAGCTACTCTGCCATGAATGTTAGCAGCATGCAACTCCCGTTGAATAATTTTCATGGATACAGGGTTCTGAAGGTGGGTATTCATCTCGAATGTTATCACCGGCAGTGTAGTCTTGCTTTTTCGAGCGACTATCCTCTTCAACACCCGTGTATCACGGTCTGACAACTTCGACTTCCTGCCGCTGTTGTGCCTCGCCGAAGACACCTTACCCAACTTTGTGTATGCCGACAGAGTCCTTGATTCAGTGGTCCTTGAAACACCTACAAGGTTCGCTGTTCTGAACACGGACGCTCCAGCCAGGCGAGCTCCGATTATCATGCCTCTTTTAAGGTCAGAGAGGTCGGACATAATCTCGTTTTGCTAGAAATAGATTTTTCTCTTGCAAATCTCACACTGCCAAATGCTAGACAGATACCTTGTCTTTCATCACCACTAGGTGTCACATTCTTGCGGCGGGCACGTGTCGCATTGGACGGTCGAGAACGACTCCATTCTTTCACAGATGTTCCTATTATTTTGTCCTATACCTGTACATTTCTTCACTGTTAACAAGATATTTTAAAAAAATTACGAATTTACGTGATCCGAAATGTGGAGGAATAGAGAAAATTCTTATGAATCCCTCAAATACATCGATTTAGATATTGAGGCCACACCGTTTTATCCAGCTGTAGCGGAGGCAATCAAAATTGGCCTAACTCTTCAAGCTACTACGTGTACTATTGAACGTACTTTTAGTACAATGCGACGCATGAAAACATGGAATCGGTACTACAATGTCTCACGACAGATTAAGTAGTTTGCGCTTGCTCAGTGTGCATAAGAAAAGAATCAAAGATGACTCAGAATTCATTGAAAATGTTATAAAAAGATTTGGACAGCTAACAAGACGATTACAATTCTTGTTTGATTAAACAATTTTTAATTGTTATGAATCAATAATTGCTTAACTATTTGCTTTTGAATAAAAATATTTTTAATAAAAATTTTTTATACTCTTTAATTGTTTAAATAAAGCCAGGGGGGTGCAAGTGCACCCCCTTGCACTCCGCTGCTGGCGCCCTTGGGCATGGACCTGTGAGAAACAGAATAAATCAAAAACAAAAGGGAACCAATTTGAAGTTTAACTCGTATACCCACTCTCAGACAAACGTCCATGTTTTTTTTTTTTTTTTTTTTAAAATATTTGCAAGTTTAAAATCCGTTTGGCATCTTGGCGATTGTAGTTAGTGTTACAAATCACTATACTGAAATATCCCCATTTTATAGATTTTACAATTACAGAATTGTTTTTCTATATCTGAAATTAATTTTTTTTTTCTTCTAGATTTTTCAAGTTTCCGTCCTGGTATTTTTAAACATACTGATGAGGAAAAAGCTCAATATGTGAGAGATTTTCTTTCAGCCATATCTGTTCCTAAGTGAGAAGTTCATATCTCTTCTTATATTCATATATTTTTTTCCATGTTTGCTTGCTGCTATAGATAGTTTTTAATTTAAAAATATAATTTTAAGTCAATTTATGAAGATTATATGAAATAATAATTGTCATGTTTAATGCTTATGTAAAGTATGAATTGTAAAGTACGTATATTACAACAAATACTCTCTAGGCAAAATATATACAGTCAAACTTCGCTATAGTGAACACGGTTTATAGTGAACTCCCGGATATAGTGAACGAAATGTTCGGTCCTGTGCCTTGCTATAATGTTATTTTTTGTGGATATAGTGAACCAAAAAAGTGAGGAAGTTGGATATAATGAACTTTTTTCTGTCTTCAACTGATTTTTTCTTCATTTTTTTTGTAATAATTTTGAAATTTCTACTTCAAAATAAACATATATACCAATGTTTAAAACCATCTATAGAGGGGAATGTAGCGATAAGCATTTTTTCTTGTTTGCTTCTTTCATCTCACTTTCCAATCCCTAAACAAACCAAGCAGATGTTTCCAACCCAGGCAGATGATCCTGTAAGGTGTCAGTGGGATCAATATGCATTTTCTGTCAGAGGGAATGAGTAATTAATTATTCATTATTGGTCAAAGGGTTGGACACTAATATGTGTTGATAAGGCCCTCACTTCAACTTCTTTTTGCTCTCAGTTCAGTTAAAAATAGTCTGCAAACAAGTATCTCAAATTTAACTATGACGACCAGTAAACGTAAAACGTTCTCCATTGATGATAAAATGGGCATAATCAGAGAAATTGAAAATGGATGCAATCAAAGTGATATTTGCAGGGAATATAAACTATCCATATCTGCAGTTTGTAACAAATGAAAAAATAGGCAATTTATAATTTCTGCTCATGAAAAAAATTTAGATGGCAGAAAAAAATTGAGAAAAGCAGATCACGAGGATGTTGAAGAAGTATTACTGAAGTGGTTCACCATTCGAAGAAGCCACAATCTTCCAGTATCTGGACAAATGTCGATAAATTTGTTAAGTATGAGACTACTTTTATGTGCTCGAATGGCAGGTTAGACAGGTTTTAAAAGCGGAATAACAGAAATTCAGGAAAAATTAGCTGAGAGTCAGGAAGTGTTTCCATATCTGATGTTGAGGATTGCTCATCAGCTAAAAATTACTAACTTCCTTTGCACACAAGACGAAGAGTAATGAAAAATAATGCATTTTTTGCTACTACATAATATTTTTCAGTCTGAAGGTTCACTACAGCGGGGTTTGACTGTATATATATATATATAATTATTTAATATACATTATAATTTAAAGCATTTAAGGTATAATTTAAAACATTTAAATTTTTCAAAAATACAATTATTTGAAAAAATAGTGAGATTGCCATTAAGGAGGCTTACTATGTTAACAACGCCTGATTGAACACCGTTCTATAGTATATCTAGGCATTAAATGCTTGCATACTAAATGCTTTGCTGAATATGGTTTGTAATTTGTTTTCAATAGATTGCCTAAACAATGTATGAAATGTTTTATCATTTCATACTTCTGGGTACAGACTAGGCCAGTTAAGTCCAGGCCTTTAGTTTTGCTTTAATGACTTTTTTTAAATTCATATTATGATTCTTTTGTTCTTAATATTTTGTAGAGTAGACCTTTTAGTCTGTCATAGCAGTGCTGTATATCCAGGTTTATTGTTGTGTCTTCACCAAAATCCTGCTATAAAATCATTAGCCATGTTAAATCCATCTACTTTTTCATTGAAGATGCCGTAAGTAGTTTTAAAATCTATAGTTTTTTTGAATGAATATAATTAATACAATACTGAGGAATTTTGTCATTGAAATATGTGCCATATAGAATTTTTTTTAAAAATGTTTGAATGAATATTGCCTTAATGACTTTAACCATAAATATGAGGAATTAAGGCAAAATTGTTGAGAACTTATCAAGCAGGGTTAGTGATTTCTTTGATTTAAATCAGATTTTTTTGAATTTTATCCAAACACATTGTAAGAACTTTAATTTATGATTAAAAATACTTTATAAATGTTTAAACAAAATTAAATTTATACGAAAGCAATATTATAACAATATTTTAGAAGCTCTAACTTACTAATATAATTTTTCATTATAATACAGAGCTTTGAATGCATACCAACCATTTTGAAACAAATGCATAATTGAAATTTGAAGACTAGATGAAATAGAGAATTTAATGAAAGGAGTCTGTCTAGGTTTTTCTGAGAGGTTTGTGAAAATTTAGACATAATTTGTGAAAATTAAAAATAATATTAAAAAATCAACACAAAAATATGGACTTATTCGTTTCTGTTTCTTACGAAACACAAAAATGAAATTTTTAAAAAAAGTACTATAGTTTTTCCTAAAGTTGAATTTGTGAAGGTACCCTAAGCAGTAGCAAATTTGGCTTGGACAGACAACAATTAAATTTAAGTTTCAATTAGCAAACCATAATTTTAATTTAAAATTGCGTTTTTTTTTCCTCTTGATTTTTAATATGACAAAATAAATGTAACAGATTGTGTTTATAAATGTAGTCACTCATCAAAAAATAAATAAATATTTAATCTATATATTTTTATATTAAAATATTCGTTTTTAATTCTATATCAAAATAGATCAGCTAAAAAAATTTTAAAAAAAAATCTATTCACTCATTGGAATTTTTTTTCACAAAATTTCTTTATAGAAAATCTGATAATGTCAAAGATACTGCAAACATATTATGAGAAAAAAACCAGTTAATAACTCTACTGCCTCAAATAGAATTTGAAAGGGAAGAATGACGCTATATCAGGAAAAAATATCTGAATTCATTAGCCTTTTTCTTTCTTTCTATTTTTGGCATATTAGGGTATAATTCTTTTTAATATAACCTCAAGCTTTAGAAATATACATTTTCCACCAATAAAATATAATGTAGATTTTAATTCCATGCTGTTTCAATCAAAAGGTAGAATTATAATTAAGATTATTTGCATTTTTTCTTCTTCAAAATTCATGTCTATCAATTACTTTTTACAGCTATGCAAGTCTATATTAAGACAGTATTAAATGTGTACTTTAATCTGTACTTTCAATCTCAAGAATCAAAAGATTTTTAAAAATGTAATTTCAAATGTGTTGGAATTTAACACACACCAAAAAAGAAAGTAATTTCGTTAACTAAAATTAATTAACGCAGCAATTTATTCAAAATAATTTTTAAAACTAAGAAAAGAAAATAATAAAAGTATCAATAATTTAAAACACTGTTTTTAAACTTTTAAAATCAATATATATATATATTAAAAAAAAATCAGTTGATTTAAATCAATGATTTTTTTAAAAAAACCATTTGATTTAAATCGTGATTTAAATCAAGCTGATTTAAATCAACGAACCCTGTTATCAAGTAGTGAACTCTTTGGAAACTTTTTCTCTTTACCTCTTCATAAAAAAAATAATAAATCTTGTGAGTTAAAAGAACTTGGGTGAAAATGATTTAAAGAAATATTTTCTGGTATCAAGTTATTTTTATATAACCACCTATCCTTTATATTATTTTTCTCTATTCTGAATTTTTTTTTAATAAAATTTTTTAAAAACTGTAAATTATTCACTTTAGTTTGAAATTTCCCTAGCCATAAAGTATGAATTCCTTTATTTAAAATGTTAACATTTCATAAATTTCAAACATTCAATAATCATCTGTCAATTTACTAAAGACTAGAACACAATGTGATTTTAACTAAAAAGAAATTTTATAATTTGAGCTTGTAAAACTTTTTAAAAATATTATTTGCAATTTTTATTTTATTTTTACTCTATTCTGTTGTTTTATGTAAAATTATAATAACATTAAATTTGATTTTTTGAAGTTGAAACTAATTATTTTAATTCAATTATCTTTAAAATAGTAAAATGGAACTCACATTTTATGTTACTTTTACAAATTTCATTATTTTATTCATTAGAGTGAAACCTCTCGGGAGTGACCACTCTCTGTTCCACAGTAAAATGGTCATAAATGGAAGTTGGTCATTCTTAGGGGTTGCCTCCTTTGACTTCAAAATGTTCTCGAAGGTTCAGGATTTTTTGCAAGTGATTTTAATTTTCTTGGTGCATAAAAGCAACTTGTGTTGGCGTCATGAAAACCAGGTCAATGGACAAAATTTAATGTAAAAAAAAATGACCCCTAATTATGAGTAAAAGCAAATTTACCAATTAGGAATGATAGAACTATTTTAAATAAATAATCAATGAGTTTTTTGTAATTTTGTACCTGAAAAATTAGCTTTAAAAAATGAAAAGAAGTTTGCTTTTACTTTTTTTTCTTCTAATTTAGCTTTCAACTTTAAAACTTAATCATTGATGGCATCGCCCTTAGTGCATTCTGTCTGCAAAATGAGGTTATCAATCTCTCTCAGTTCTTTAAAAAAGCTCTCTATGTAAGAGCCAATCACATTGTTTTGAATACATTTAAATCTACTTAATTCTTTTGTTAATATTTTTGTTTTTATAATTTTTTGTGTTTTTTTTTTATTTGATCTTTTCCACATTTGGTGCACAAGTTTGCCCGGTTGGTGGGGGAGGTTTTGTGGTCTTTCCCAAAGATTTTCTTCAACACAAAGTCTATGGAAAAACATCCGTGCTCCCCAAAAGTGTATATAGATCACGATACAGAAGTAGTCTTTCCTTGAGGTTTCACTGTACTAACTTGTGGTATCTTTAAAAAATTGTCATAAAATATTACATCCTTTATTGTCTATGAATAAACAATGTAATTTATAGATTATGAGTATTTTCATTTTGAAATATTTGTTATTTAATTCAACTCATTAATTGGCTATTTTTCCTAATGAAAAATGCTTTCCAGGGCAATTAATTATTATCAAGGTTTGAAACAGATGGTAAAAGCAAGTGAAAGTCCAGTTTTTTTAAAGATCATGGAAACAATTTGTCCTATTATTTTAAAATTGGCAAAAATTCCTGTGAGAGTGGATAAGTTCTTAGATCCTTTGTTATCAGCAACTGTTATGGCACGTACAAATATTCCAGAGGTATGAATAAAACGTTTCTTTTAGTGGAAAAGAGAAATGTATGAATGATGACTGTTTTAAAAAATCTTTGTATGTTTTTTTGTAATGTTGATCTTACTTATTTATCTGTTAATGCATTATAGCAAAATTATTACATTAGACATTATTCACTTATGTTTTTTATTGAAACTTTTCATTTGAAAAATTAATAAAGGATATAAGTTTTAGTTTAATATTCTCAGAAGCATCACTGAACTTAGCATGGCTCTGTTTTAACCATTTTATTCAGGGCCTTTGAATATTCTCTTTCTGTGGAGCAGCTTGCTTATAATTTTACCTAAACGATTGAAATAGATAAAATGTAATTATTCTTCACATTTCATTCCTAAGAATTGTCAACTTATTTTTTTCTTTTGTGTATATTTTTTGTTTATAGCTACTATTATTTATATTATTGTTTTTAAATTTTATTAAGTATTTATGAAGTTCCAGATAAGTAAAAGTTGAATTGAGAAATTTTATGTTTCTGGGACTTGCTTAAATAATCCTCTAAAAATATTTAAATATATTTTATTTTTGAATTCTGAAATTGTGTTTGATGTCTGTGCCTGCTTTTATTGTGCAAGGTTTGTAGTAAAAAACAAAAGTTTTTGATTTTTAAATGCTAAAAATAAATATAATTGGCATGGAGCCCTGGCCAAGGGCCTCATATGTCACACTCTAACTACAGCTGTGCATTTAACTTAAACAAGGGGAAAACGGTGAATTCTAGTAATCTCTTGAAACTCTAGTTTCAAGTAACTAATATATTTGAAAATTTTTTAATTTTATTATTTTTATCTTTTAAAAATATTTTGGAATTTTAAATTTGGATTTATTGGAAGGAAGAATTCAACACAAATTCACAGTTTTTTTTTCTTCCTTTTTTTAAAAAAAAAAGTTTCATGGTTTCATTATGCATAATAATTATTTATATAAATATTTATTTAAATATAAATATTTATTTAAATATAAATATTTGTATAAATATTATAAATTACATGCCTAAATATTTTATTATAATTTTTAAACTTTATTCATTGTGGCAAGACAAATTGCTGTGTTAAACAAAACTAATCTTAATCTCAATCAGTATCTATCATTGATAAAGTTTAAGTTGTCTTTTTTTTTTTTTTTTGAAAAGTACCTAACATTAGAATTAATTTTCGTATTAAGAATTCCTTAAAATCAATGTAATCAAAAACTGTCGTGTGCAAATTTTGTTTATAATCTTCTAAATTGAATGAAAAGAAATTAAAGCATGTTGAAAGAAAATTTGAATTCTAGGAGCAGTTTTAATAAGTGAAAAATTAAAATAAAATGAAGATTTGAAATAATTGAGTATAGAATTTTATTTTTATTTGTTAACATATGAGGTTTTGTTTTAAAATGATTAAATTAAAAAAATTTTAATTAGTGTTTGTTACTAAATATAAAAGAGAATATTATAAATTATACCGTAATATATCCAAATTGCATCATAAATTATATTAAATTATACCATATTAAAAAAGGTATACTTCAAAACTGTTGAAATGTGCTGTTTTATTATTACTATTATTGCTGTGATATACATTATTTTTTTATTCTGTTAAAACAGTAAAAAAAATTTCGTAATTTAAAATGACTTTAACAAAAAGTGTTCTAAAATTCTAATTAAGTATAGAAAAATTGCTGCATGAACATTTTTTATAAATTTTTTATGTGATATTATTAAAGTGAAAATTGAATATATGAAATATATTCAATTTTCATTTTTATTGTGAATATGTGAAAATTATTAAAACATTATGATTTTAATCATCTAATGTTAAACAGTTTAGTCCACAAACTTCTTCATAAAAATTTGGTTTTTTTAGTTTAAATGAGAATAAAATATATTGTTACATTCAACATTTCATTTTTATGTGGTTTTATAATATGTTTGATATTTCTATCTTTATCATTTTTCCTTTTTAATTTTAAAAGATCTGAATTTTGTTAGTCAAAAGAAAAGTTCCACAAGCTTGCATCGTCAGGATTTCCTATTTTTTATGCTTTTAGTGAAGATGATAAACTGATTGGAGGACAAAATGCTTCTGAGTTAGCAACGCTCCTTGGTGCTCAATTCTCTGATATTTGTTACATAAATAAGCATGGAGTTATTGAAAAAAAAGGTTTGTCTAAGTTCTCAATTGACTTTAGTTCATTAAAATTTCATCTCATGCTTTCTAAATTGTTTTAAAAGTTATTAAATCTTTTAATCTGTCATCTTATTTATTTTTGTTCTTTGATAAAGAATTGAAACTTTTGTGATCTGATGGAATATAACTTGTGTCTACTGAAATATCAGCCTCTTGTGGGAGTCTAATTAATAACTGCCAATTTACCATTATTCTATCCTAGATATGAATTGTATGCACCTGTTTACAAAATCACAATTACAAAAGTCTCAATATTTTTTTAAACCTTAAATAAACCTATTACTTATTTAATCTTTGTGTTAAGAAACAAACATAGTGCTACAAAAATTTCAAGCTTTTCATTGTTTTGCTCAATTTGTTTGAAATAATCTCTTAAAAAATAAGTGGTTTTTATTATAGATATAACTTTAAGTTATACTTTATAAGAAAAATATATTTTTAGGTCAAGAAACCTCTAGACTGAAGGTCATGTCCTTTGAAAACGGTTCCCACTATGTATTTTGGAAATATTCAGACATAATAAATGCAGCGGTCTACAATTTTTTAATTCAGCACATAACTGACAGTGTCCAAAGCTGAAATTAGAGTAAGAAAAAAATCTTCAATTGCTTACTATGAATACTTCGTCACTATGCATATTGAAAAATGAATTTGCATAAAAAATACTATATTTCATCTTTATTTTTTATCTTTTATAATTTTTGGTAAATTTCGAACAACAGAAAAACTGTATTGCCATAGTTTTTACATAAAAAACCTCCCTAGCAGAAAAAAAAAGAATTTAGAAGACTCCATCACAGCTGTATTTCTTATAAACCATATTAGCTGTGAAAAAGTTATCATTGTGATAAATCATTTTTAATTATTGTAAAATAGGCTTTCTTATGTTTTTTTATTTTTTTTTACATACTTTTTAATTGACGCAAAGTCGCCACTCTAACTGCCACAACATATTAAATAAACAAAAACACTTAAGGATTTATATTTGCAGGGGTAATTGTGAGTCCAAGTCAAAATTCCGGAAAATTTCTTGAGTTAAAAACAAAAAACAAAACAGTTTAAATTGAAAAATTAGAAAAAAATTTAAACAAGTTTTTTTTTCCTTTTTCTCAATATTTCTAATCTTAATTAAAATATATTTAAAATTTTACACATACCTATACCATTTACACATACCTATGATGACCTGGAGAAGTAATTAAAATTTATAAATATATCTTTATTTCTTGAGTTTATGATTATAATAACTATTTACTGATAAAAAATGAATATTAATCCTGAATATAAGCTTATAAAGTATCTGGCTCTCCCTTACAAACAAATAAAGTAAACTATGTTTTTAAGTTTCACCTTTGAAAATTTGATTTCCGGAAACTTCTGTATTCAATGATTTTTTGAAACATTTGGACCTTTGATCTCCGGATCACTGTTAGCGAAAAATCCGGAAATCCATATTTTTTCTGGAGCACAATCAGCCCTGTATTTGATAATATTTTATGTTTATTATTCTAGGAATCTGAATATTAACTTTTCGCATTAATAGCGATTCTGAAAATGCGAACATGATTTTTTAGCATTAATTTTGAGCAGAATTCTTGGGACTGAGCAAAAAATTCAAATTATCCAGAACTTTGATCTAAATAGCTTAGATTATCTACAGTTTACTGCACTTCATATACAAACACATTTAGTTAAAAGATAAAGTCTAGGTTATTTTTCCTATGAAAAAATTAATGTATAAGTTCACTCAATTTGTAATCATTTTGTATTAAAATTAATTACAGATAATCATCCCCACTTCATTGCATATCTGATAATTGAATAACCTACTTACATGAATAAAATTTAGTGGAATCAAATTATTTTACATGAAATCGATATTTTTTCATTTAAACAATTATTTATAGTTGCCAGTCCTCGCTTAATGGAACTAAAAAGAGAAAAAAAAATTTTTTTTTGAATTGCTTTACTAGGTAGAATGTACTTTCCGTTTTTCAATAAAGAAGATAATACAATACACTTCCATGAGGACTTCCTGTTCAATTTTAGCTCCAAACAGCTGTTATTAGGGGGATGTTTAAGAATTAACAATTTCAGGAGTGATTATATTCTCGGGGGTATCCCAAAATTCCGGGTTTTCCGTATTATTTAAAAATTAGGAGTAGGTATATGATTTTTCTGGGAATATCGCGGAATTCCGCGTTTCTTAAGACCATTGGTTCTCGGACTTTCGCTAATCAAGAACTTATAATCGGACGAAATTTTCTCGGAAATCCTCAATCAAATATCAAATTTTAAAACTTTCGCTTATTCCCGCTAACAAGACACTTGCACGATTCTTCCCCCGATTGGTTCTTTTGGTATGGCCTATTTTCGCCATTTTGAATATTTGAAACTGTGCCGGAATCCACTCATTTTGGGATTCCTATTCAGGCTTTTTGAATACCAAAATCGATTTTCGTATTTACCTAATTTAAAAGTTACACATTGTGATTCGTATTCACATGATTTAAAAACCCACTGTCGCGATTCATATTCACACAATTTTAAAATTCAATATCGCGATTCTTGTAAGAACTAAGATTTTTCTTAAATTAGCTACTATAAAGGTGTGATATTCTTCATTGATAAGTAATTTAATTATAAATATTATATAAAAAAATATCTATTTTTTGCACCCAACATTTTCAGGGTTTTTCACTTCACTTTCATGTCAAAATCACCCCTGAGTTATATAGTGAACAAGGGAAGAGTGTTACCTGTTTTTACTCACTTCACTAAGAATGAAAAAAAGTAAGGAGTAGAGAATTATTCAGTTAAATGTATGTCAAAGCTGTATTTCTTCGGAAGGAAATAAATAGCATTACATTATGCATATTATGTTTTCATGACAATTGATTTATTTTTGTATAAATTTAAATATCATTTATATTTTTTGATATTAACTCTCAAAGCTCTTTTATAACGGTTAATTGATCATTAAAATGACTTTATTCCCTCAAAAAATTTTTCAATGTATGCATGCCAAAGTAAAATTTCATAAAAACGTAGCATTTAAGATTGACTTATGTATTCTCCTTATAATCGAACAACCCTTTGTTTGAATACAGTAGACTGAAAACAGTGGTTTATACATTGAATGGGGGGCTGGCTGTATTTTAACAGAATTAGTTATGTTAGATAACTTTGTTGTATTTTAAGCTTTTTTTTCTTTCAAAAATGAATAAGAATGTAAATTAGTTTTGTATTCTTCTTAAAATCACTAAGTTATAAATATATTTTCAAACATGGATTTTTTTTAAGTAAAATCATAAGTTAAAATATTGTTCTAACCTTATCAACAAATTATAAAATTATAATAAAATAAGAATATTTTCTCCTCTTATTTAATATATTTTACAATGCAAGAGCAATGAAGTAAAATCAAATTTCTTTAACTTTTTTTTTTCATGAATCTTTAAGAACAAGATGTTAAGTTGCCAATGTAAAAATGTATAATATAATTAGTTTGAAAAATTGAATTACTTAATTAGATGTTTAAACTTTTTGATTTAATGTTGAAGGTTTTGTGTGATAGATTTCAGCAATTTTCTGATATAAAAGTTTTAAAACTATTATCGAAAAATTTTTTAATTAATGAATTGTGCAGCATTGTAATTTTCTATTTCATGAAACGTTTCTTTCATTTTGTTTTAGATGTTTAAAACGTAAGTTATTATTGCTGAAGAATCATAATCCCTTGGATTAGCTTTAAGACATGAAGAGTTTATCTAAAGAAGTATACATATAAAAAAAAATTATGGTTGATGGTGATAGGTTGAAAAAATGTATTATTTATTTTATTTCATAACCATTGATAAACAGCGACCCAATTTTCTGGGTGATTATTTATTTATTTATTTGTCTTTTTTTTCTTGAAATCATAATAAATATTATTCATCCATTTTATTTATTGTGTGGATTTTTATACAGATACTTTTAGGCATTAATTTCCATTCATAAATCAACCTGATATAACTAAATATTTTCTTGGCCTATTAATTAATGAATTTTAGTTTAAAATCTTAGATTCCACTGAAAATTAGTCTTCTCTTTAATATTTATTTATTTCTGTCTATTGGCTACTTTTACAAACTACTTAAAAATTTACTCAATATAAATTAGGTCAGAATATGATGTAAGCAAAAAATATTTTCAGTTGTTTCGATGCCTTTGCTAATTACATAATTACTCAGGCCTCTACATTACGCTTACTACACCATCTTGGATAACAGTTTGGTGGTACAAAAATATTCAATATTTTATGTGTGGAGTTGTAGTGGCTCGGGTAGAGTACTCGCCTCCCATTGACGTGACCTGAGTTCAAATCCCAGCGATGACTGGTCGAAATAAATTCCGCACCTGCCTCGCACTGACCACCGTGCTGACATAAGTTATCTTCAGCGGTAAACAGATCATGGGCTAGGGGCCCTTTGCCATCAGGCTAACTGAAAGGGTTTTCGGGCCTTTCCTCTCCTTGTAACGCAAATGTTGGTTAGTTCTATCAAAAAGTCCTCAAGGAAGGCAAATTTCTTCCAATACTTGATCCAGGAGTTCCCTTGTCTTCTGAATTGGGTTCAAAATTACAAGGCTATGGAGTTGAACATTAGTAGTCGTAAACTAAAAAATTGGGTAGTTTCAACTGCGGTTAAAAAATATATATATTTAATGTGTCAAGTATTTGTTGAAGTGAGCAATTTCTGCTGTTTTATTTGTCAAGTAATTTATTTATTAGTTTATTATTTAAAATATAGCTATTTTTATTTTATTGTAAACTCAAAAATTGGGTAGTTTCAACTGCGGTTAAAAAATATATATAGTTTATGTGTCACGTATTAGTTGAAGTGAATAATTTCTGTTGTTTTATTTGTCAAGTAATTTATTTATTAGTTTATTATTTACAGTATAGCTATTGTTATTTAGCAAAACGTTTAAATTTATTGAACAGTTTTAAAAATTAAACAAAATTAAAAGATTAGTTACTGAGGTTGGGAATTGTCTGGTTGAAACCTATTTCTTACAGGACACTGGAAGAAGTGTAAAATTATCAATACAATTAGCTATTTAGCAGTAAGTAAAAAAAGTTTAAATTTAATAAAATAGTTTAAATTAACAGGTAAAATTTAATAAAATATATTTTGAGACTGTTGAATTATGACAAGATATGATGCACATCAAAGAAAATTATTTAAACATAAAATACTTTAAAATTTTAGTACGGAAGAAGCGAATGATATTTTGAATAAATTGAAAAAAGAAATCGTTTATATAAATGCCCTAAAAATAAAAAATGGAAATTCGTTGTATAGACTTCAGAAAAAACTTGCAGCCTATGGTGAAGGAACAGAACATACTTTTTCGGAGTCAACATTTAAAGGTGAACTCTGACGCTGTTAATGTTAAAACAATTGGCCGCAGAAATGTGTTCTCTCAAGTTCAATTTTCTGATCAATTTTATCTGATTTTCTGATCAATTTTATCGAAACGGTTGCAAAAAAATTGGAAAACATCAAGATGATGTAAGAGAATTGGTGGGTGCTTTTTCTTTTGGAGCTGAACTCNGGGGGTCGATGGAGATTTCGAAAAATTATATAGGGGTCGATGACCAAAAAAGTTTGGCGACCCCTGGTTTAGAGAATGGGAGTGTTTTAATCCGCCCATTCTCTAAACTAAATTTAGAAAATCCTCCAGGAAGAAACAATATTGGTTTCAATTGACACTCACGAACATCACCGAACCTCAATTGACCTTTAGAATGATTGAAAAAAGATGGACAATGAAGAAAAATTAGTAAAAAAATTGAAAAAAAATATGACAATCAAAGCTGACGTCATCAGGGGGGTGCCAGCTTTGAATTTTCATAAAATGAAAAACTTTTTCTATCAAGAAAGCAAGACAAAAGTCAAAAATTCGCTCTCTCTGTACCCCAGAAATTTTGCCCATGTCCAAGAATACATAAAATACAAGAAAAAGTAGTAGAATTTGTTATACAGTACGATTTAAATTACAGAAGCATAAAACAGTAGAATAAAAACAAGACAAATATAGAAGGAAAGTAAGATAGAAAAATTTACTGGTGTAATACAAAATAACATACTATTAAAAATACAGAAGCATAAACATTCATTAGAATAAAACAAGACAAATACAGTAGAAAAGTAAACTAGTAGGAAAGTTTACTAATTTTTCTTCATTGTCTCATTTGTTAAATTCCTCTTGGTTTCTCTGCTGCTAAGCGTCTTTTTTCCATTTGGATGTTTTATTTTTAATTTTATTAATTATTTTGCATTAATAATTTTGATTCCTTTTCTATATTGTAATTTTCAAATCTGGTTTCAGCTGCAATTTTTGCGCTTTTTCTGTTTTGAAATATTCTTAATTTTATTTAATAATTTTTTAATTTTATTAATTTTTTGCATTAATATTTTGAATTCTTTTCTATATTGAAAAAAGGTGGACTAATTAACTCATCTTGACTTATGAAAATATTGCAAATCGGAAGAAAAAAATTATTTTTGAAATATATATATATAGCATAATAAATTAAAACAAAAAAACACGAAGAAAATTAAGAAAAACAATAAGTTTTATTTATTGCGCATAAGCTGCAAGTAAATAGAACTCATAAAATAAGTTCAAAATTTAGAGAAAACAAGGGAAAAATTACAGAACAATGAAAAAGGGGGGGAAATAATAATAAAAATAACAAAAACCGTAGGGAAAAAAAAAATTTTAAAAATCCGGAAAATAAAAGATATAATCTTTTCATCAGCTCACACGATTATATCCGCAAAAAAGAGTGCTTTCTAATATTGCATCAATATAGCCAAAGCAAAATATATCTATCAATACAATAGTGTGAGAAGTACTCAAAAAATTACAGCAAATAAAATAGAACACATTCTATTTTATTTGTTGTAATTTTTTTGGTCTTTTTCTGGTAATTTTTCGAGGTATAAAAGGATTGTGATCCCCAGCAATAATGTATGCCACAAGACACTAAGGGTCTCCTCTAAGCGTACCACACGGACTAAGATATTTTAATTTTTTTTTAAAGTTTCATCTGTGGTGTTTTAGCACCTTTTTTTTTATAAATATTTATCAGAACAATCAAAGTATTGGTACTGGCACTAAATATTGGTACGAAGTAATGTTTAAGCTTTTAGAACCAAATTAGAATGAAAGTATAAAATTAAGTTATGAATGTATTTATTTTAAATGAAAATTTGTCAAAAAAAAGTTAATTTTTGGATTATTTTTAATTTTTCCTTTATGTACACAGAAAAGAAGCATTATAATGTAAACATTAAAAAAAAATTATGCGAATGTATTAGAATAGTCTCTAATAAAATAAATTCAAATAATGAATGTGATAAGTGTCCTAAAATTCAGGTTTATCAGAATATTAGTTCTGAAGAAGGTTTTCATTTCGTCAAGGCCGGATTACCCATTAGGCCAGACTAGGCCATGGCCTGGGGCCCCCTTAAAAAAATTTTTTTGAAAATAAATTTTAAAAAATTAAGAAAAACAATGATTTTAAAAAAAAAAATCAATTCCAAATATATATTTTTAAAATACGATAATTTTTTTAGTTCTAACTTAACAAAATGAAGTAAAATTTAATTTATTATTATTTATTTTTATTTTAAATTTGCTTTCTTAAATGAAAAAATACATAAATACTTTTATAATTGAATAAGTAAAAAATATACGAGGAAAAAAAAATTAAATCTAAGGGCCCCAAAAATTGGAATGGCCCTGCATTTCGTCATTAAATTCGCAGTTTTGAAAAGTCGTCAAAAGAAAAGGGTTGCTATGTTAAGGAGTTGCACAAAGAATATTTAAAAAATCTTTCAAATGCAGCAAAAATGAAAATTGCGTTAGAATTTTTTAAATCTGCAATTCATTATAAAGTAAAAATTAAGATATGTGGTTTTTGATTGACAAGCTTCAAGCGAACGTTCTAAATTCGATCACATTTGAAGCCGATTTAGTATCAGAATATTAGAGTAATATGCCTCAATAATTAATTGTAACTATCCTAATGTTTTTATCAAAATTTTATTTTATTTTATTTTATATATGATTTATCAGAATCACATATTATTTGGTTAAAAAAAAAATATTTCACTCTTATGAACAACTATTATAAAAACTATAAAAAAAAAAACATCCGAAAGATGTATACAACAAGATGTAACAAAAATACATAGTGCTTTTAATTCTATATACGAAAATAGCTTTATAAATGCGATATGCCAAAACCGTAAAATGGGGTTACTTTGAGATAAGTGAGGTTACTTTAGAACACGCGGGGCTTATGAACACATTTGTTCATATTCCTCTTCCTCCTTGTCAGCAAAATAAGCAAACCACAGACCCTTTTCTCCCATTAGATGCTTACGTAATATGAGAACAACCCCTTATTCTGCCCCTCCAACTTCTTAAGACAGAAAAAAATTTTATTTTCCATAAAATTAGAAAAAATAATTTAAATATTCTTAAATGGTTTTATTTTCTTCTCTTTCATCAATTTTCAAGAGCAACATGATTGATGAATTTGATGATTGCGAACCGAAACCTTAAAATGTATTTATCTAACTGCGCATCTATATTTAAAAGTGTGAAAAACTGATAGCAGTAATGTAGCGATAGGACATAAATATAACTTTTTTTTAATTTACATATCCAATCGTATAAATAACGGTATAGAGATCAAGATTAGATGAAAGTGTAGAATATCATTTTTTCCATATGTAAGTAACATTTCTCTTGATGTTTTAGTGTTTATGTTGCCCTGAAGAAAAAAAAGAGACTAGGATTAACTTGCAGTGAAGTTTTTACCTTCAAATTTTGTAAGTTTCTTCAAATATTCCCTTCTTAACTAGTAACTTTTCTTAATTTATTATTAAGAAGTGTATATTATACTTTCTTCAGTTTTAAAAAGGTGCGATAAATGGCTTTTAAATATTATAAAACTTTTTAAAATTCAATTTCTCGGGAACTATTCGACCGATTTCCCTCAAATTTTGTATTTTGACACGTAAAATTACATTCTTTAAAATCATGCTATAATAAACATACCTTACAATTCAAAAATTTTTCGACTTTTCTTAAATAAAATAATAAATCTTTACCAAAAGTTATTTTTTGCATGGATATATCTTTGGACAATTAAATTATATAATTATGTGCAAAGATTTTTCAATTCTCTTTCAGTTCTGGATATAAGGCGACGAACGTAAAAAGTAAAATTAGCTTGAAGAGTTCCAAACTTAGGATCAATCTCTTGACCAAACTAGGGGGACAATTTAGAGAAAGTACGTTTTTGTGATTGATTTCGTAACTTTAACTATCATCTGCACTAATTAATTAGCATATTTGAGGTCCTAGAAAGCAACGATCCGATCTTTATTTGTTTATTTTTACACACAGTACATTGAGTTACGAATTTAAAAAAAATTTGAAACTCAACAATTAGTTAAAGAATAAATTAACTGTTAAACTCATTTGTAGGGGGAAAAAATACCATGTTTGGTCAATGTACGCTGAAACGCTACTAAGGAGTTAAAATTTAATGTGCTGATTAACGCCAATTTCGCTTCGAAATTTTAATTTGTTCGTACGTCATTGCATGTTGAAGTGCATTTAATTTTTTTTTTATTTGCTTTAAATATTCACTATTTATCCACTATTGTAGAAAATTAATTTTTTTCGAGATATCTTCATTTTATGAGAGTAAATATCAATCAAAAACCGCACTGAAAAAGAGTGAGAGAGTGAGCATTTTTGTTGAGAAATTATGTTGCGCAATGTTTAACAAATCTATGAGATCACACCATAAGTAATATAAATTTTCCAAAATTAAATTACGTTATTGAAAATGAATGAAAAACAGAATATATGCACAGTTACAATTTAGTTACAAAGTTACAATTTACATGCGATTTTCAAGGAAAAAATAAAAAGAGTTTGAAAACTCAAATTCGAATCCCTTGAACAAATTGAATTGTTTGAAAACTCAAATCTTAATCCTTGAGGTCCCGCAGTGGATTGATCGCAAAGACACGGTTCCCAGTTGAATACCGAAGTCAAGCATCACTGACTGCCATCAGTAAGCGGGTGGGTGACCACTTTGATCAGCCTACGTAGGGACCGGGGGTGCGCGGTATCGGTCCTCGTTAAACTGTTCTACCGTTAAGTGCTCGACTTCGCTCGCAGGTCGTCGGGCCACTAAAGCGGAGGAGCCATTTCCTCTTCAGAGGATCAAAATTGTGATGGCATGTCTTCGGATCATCCTCGGGGATGTTTCCCAGACCGTAGCCAATAGCCCATTCTGAAGATCTAGTGCGACGTAAATAAAATACATACCTAATAAAAAAAATACTACTAATCCTTGAGAGATTGCTCAACTAAATTTAATGGTCTATATGAAGAGTCTATTTAAACTTTACATCCAATAATTTTCTGAATCAAATTACTTCTTTAAAAACTATGAAAAATATGTAAAATATACAGGAACACATAATGTTATATCATTTAATTTTGCAGAAAAAGTTTTTTGACAACAAATTTTTCTCAAAAAATTTAAATTTTCATTGAAAAAAAAAATTTTTTTTTAAATGAAAAACGCAAAATAAAAAATTATCATGATAAACAAAAGACACTGAAAATTTCTCAGACTGATTTTTTTTAAAATCTCTAAGTCCTTAATTAGACGTAAAAAATCATTCTATACAGAACTATCATCAAATTGGAAAGAAAAAAAATCTTTTACATGTAAATTTTTTATTAAAAAATCATAACACTTACCTGCTTTATAAATTCGGAGAATTCCAAAATAAAATGTTCTTAGATTTTAAAATTTTATTCTCAAATAATATATGCATAAATTAACACTTCATAACTTTAGGATGAAATACCATACTATAAAATTGCACAATTGTAAGATCTCGCAATGAATTTCAATTAGTAATTTCAAAACCGAATAGCTGAATTCTAGAAAATTAATCATTAAAAATTAAAAATATCTATCCTAGAAAACATTAAAAAATGTATTAATAATCAGCTCAAATGATAATATTTCAAGTAAGTCTAATGATCCTTTATTCTTGTTTTCCAAATTATATATATTCAAAAATATATACTATTCTATATAACGTGCAGAAATTTTACATTTGTATGACGAACATGTGACATTTGTATACCGAAGCGGGGGTGCCATCCACTGTGCAGTGGATCAAAATTGTGATGGTATGTCTTCGGATCATCCTCAGGGATGTTTCCCAGACCGTCGCCTATAGCCCATTGTGCAGCTCTAGTGCGACGTAAGTGAACTACTACTACTACTACATTTGTATGTAACATTTAACATAACGTGCAGAAATGTTTATAGAAATGTACTGTGCGCTTTAAATAAACGAATTTTATAACTGTATGCAAAAAAATTTCAATTCGCTTAAAAAGTTTTAGGGATACAGCGAAATACGCAAAAAGTTAAATTAACAATAAAGGGACCGAACTTTGGAGGGCTCTCCTGACCAAACTATTGAGATCCTGTTTCCCTGATTGCGACTACCCCCCATATTTTGGGTATCTGAAATCCGAATTCGTCATGAAAAAGGCATGTTTATTCAGAGAAAGTGCGTTTATGTGTCTGATTTCTTAACTTAAAATATCATCTGCTGTAATTATTTAGCATGTTTCGGGTCACCCCCTCGAGCCATTAAGTCATAGAACTGGAAGATCCGATCATTAGATCAAAAGTTATTCAGGGTGGTCCGTTTTTTTTAAATGGAAAAATATTTATTTTACAGTAATGCACATATATAATAGTATTGCGATCATGAAATCGAAAGTTCTCAGTTCATTAAAATGATGTCGGAAATTCGTTGATTATTCGAAAAGATGCATTAATGCAAAATTAATCTTGAAATGTTTCGCGTGTCCTCTTTTAAAAAGATAAACAGATGTTCTGGGTTTGAAACTGAAAGCATGTCGTAATATCCGCGATCGTAACGTTACTAATATGTAACACCCAGATTGTAAAAAAAGTAGCTTGCTGTGTGAAACTTACTCTATCTTTTTCACTCTTTGATTTACTTGAGAAAATATGACTTATTTCTGTTGCTTCACTATTTTAAAATCATTCGATTTATGCAGTGTACCATAAAAATGAGTGATATTTGGGATGGTCTTATAATTTTGTAACACACTGTATATTATCTTAACATTTATATTTTATTTTATAATCATCGTTGAACAGCCGACCCAATTATAAGTCTACGACTACCGATGTTCAAATCTGTAGCCTTGTAATTTTGAACCCAATCCAGAAGCCAAGGGAACTCATATATTGGGAGAAATTTGCCTTCGTGGAGGACATTTTTATCGAACTAACCCACATTTGCGTTACATGGAGTGGAAAACCTCTAACGGTTAGCCCGACGGCAGGGGAATTCTATTTCCTGATCCGTCTACAACTAAGGATTGGATCAAGTATTGGGAGAAATTTGCCTTTATGGAGGACTTAGTGATGGAACTAACTCGCATTTGTGTTACATGGAGGGGGAAATCACAAAAACTTTACCAAGGTAAAATTGACGGCAAAGGGTTTCTAATTCATTATTGAGAGGTAAGCGCTCTATCCCCTGAGCCACCACAGCCTCCTAGCACAATAAAAATATCTAGTTACAGTAAATAATGAGTTTGCATCTCTCTGTAACTCAAAAATCGTTTATTATAGAACGTACGAGAATTCGAACAACGTTGTGCAAATGGCAATTTTATAGCCCTCGATCCTTAAAATCGCACCTTAATTTTACCTTTAATTACACCTTTGGTGTTTATTAGCTCTGTTTAGTCAAAAACGTAGTTTGTTTCACTTCTTTAATAATTAATTATTTTTCATTCGTTGTGCGAGTTCAGCTCAAGTATCAACGTGGATGGCATGTAAGATCTATTTCCCCGAATTAGTATTGCTGAAAGTTATCTGAAACCTGCGTTGATTTTTTTTACAATTACGCTTCCGAACTTTTTTTTTTAATAAACTAAACAATTTAAAATCAATAAAATGTGAAATAGTAGTGAATAAAATTGGAATAATTTTAGCTTTATTAATCGTATTGTTACATGTCTTTCAGTTTCGCAGTATTAATTAATACACATTTATTATTTTCTTCTTAGTTTTATCCCATATGAAGAATCGGTACTCAATTGATATTTTATATATTCTATGAAAGTTATCGTTAATGTTATATCACTCTTTTTCAGTTTTTAACTAGTTGTGTTTTCACCTGCCGTAATGTTGATAATAAGATGTAAGAGTTATTTTAAAATACAGATGATAAGTTCCGTTTATAACTGCAAATATTTATCTCATACCTTATCATTTAGTAAATTCATTTTTTCGACACAGATAAGAACATTATTTTTGTTGTCTTTAAACGTTAAACATTTCCCAGACGTTAATCGGTCCTAAAGGTTTCCTGGAAATCTAAAGTATGTAATATAATAATTAGTAATTTTGTAAGATTAATTTTTTTTTTTTTTACATTTGCAAAAACAAAATTAGTTAGAAGCTTTTTGTATTCAATTCCTATTTAAGTATTTAAATAACATAATAATAATTTAGGATTTTTAATTATAACTGCTAACACCACAATATCATTAAATGGGGGTGACTTAGTGCCACACACGATTTCTGTTGGTGGTTAAATTGCATCTAGCGATAGCTGGAATGAAGATGATTTTTCGAGAATTTTTTTGCCCATCTCTGGAGCGGAGTTTGAATGTGAAACATTTCGTATTTTTGTGGTTACTATTCCATGTTGCTCGAAAATTTTTTTTCGTTTTATTGTGTTTCATTTACATTTTGCTCTGAATTGTGTCAAATCTCGTTTTGGGCATGTATTTACCTTAGTTATTATTATCGATAAGGAAAGTTGATATCTAGATTGCTGATACAATCGAAATGTTTCTTTTTTCAAATAGAAACCTGTCTTTTTCTTTCATTTTATATGTCATCATGGTTAGAAAAGAATATTGTACTTTGGAAAGTGAATTTGCGCAACTGTTAGTTTTGTATAAATTAGGGATGTGTGCAATAATAATGGCTACGAAACCAAAACGGAAGTGAATACAAAACTGAACTAACATCACAACATCAGTTTAAGAGTTTACTTCGAACGAAACAGCCAGGGCCCATGTTGAAACGTCAAGAATTAATAATGTGTGGATATGTGCTATATTATTGCTCGGCATTGCAACAAACTGTACCCTAAGAGAATGCTTGCAGATGACGATGAGAATGAAGACACCTGTTTCTACTAAGAGAACGATATATTGGACATGGTCGGTCCCGTACAAGAAAGATCCAACTAAAAAAAATTGTATGTTGTTCGATGTTGGTTTTAATGTTTCAATATAATAAAATAATTATTTATAATGTCCGGGATAGCCTGATTGGCAGGGCGCTGGACTCACGTTTGTGAGAACGGGGGTTCGAATCCAGCCGACCGAAGATTCCCCGTATAGTAAATGGTGACTGGTGCACGTTAAATCAGTCGAGTCACAAAGACCTCCGTGTTCTCATAACAAATCAATACCTCTGGGAGTACTGAATTAGAGATTGATCGTTATCTGTCCAAATTAATATCTGTGGATGAATGAATGGCCGTATGAATAGGTTCGCCCTATAAACGGGAGTGACGTATGAGTGCGACAGAAGTCAAATTCTTGGCCATAGATGGCGCCACTAGAAAACAAGAACAATCGCTCCCCCTCTGCCGATAGGATCGATGACGATAACAACAATTATTCATAATTATAATAATAAATGTAATACTTTTGTTTTTATTTTTTTGTCTTCTCTCAACCAAAGTTTAAATATTGAGAAACAAAATTGTGTGAAATATTTAAAATTTCCGTCTGTATGTCTCGATGACTATATATGTGCCAGAATACGATTTTAGCCGATTTTAATGTGAGAAATTGGGTGACACAAAGCACCTTATTGAAGATTGTAAATTTGTGCCACAGAACAGATATCTTGTTGCAGTTTATCGTAAAATTTTATGAACAACAGTGAAAAAAAATTGTGCACATATATATTTTGCGAACTATTCAGTTATAAATATTCACTATTAATTCTACGTTGCAATTTAAAAAATATATATACGAAAAAAACTCTAAAAAAAATGGAACTAAATCATTTTGTTTTATGGCACTATTTAAGATATTTTATTTATCATTGTGAATCAGTAATCTAATGTGGTTGTGTTTAACATAAATAATGCTCGCAATAATAAAATATTTTTTCTGTACTTAAATTATAAACAACTTTTATAAACTTTAGTTATGAATTGAGGTTAGGAATGAATCGAAATTTTCATGGTAAAAAAGCCAGATACGGCTATGTTGCACCAAACTTATTTCGAAAAGCTAACGATAACGCATGCTTAATGAAAAACGAAAATACTAAAGGTTTTGCGGTGAAATAGTTAAAAGTTCGATTTGGCTATTTTTATGTTCCTTAAAATAAAAAAAGTTGTGAAGTGAAAATGGTCTTGTTTTTAATAAGTATTTGGTTTGATTAAAAAAGCACTAATGAAATTCAAGAAAATTATAAAAATTGAGAACGTATTTGACTTTAGTTTGAAAATGTTTTGGAATCACTCTTTAAAATTAGAATAACTAAAACGAGAAACATTTTATTACAACAATTATATTTTTGTGGGTCGTTAATGTTTCTCAAAAGCCGGATAATTTGATATTCATTCCCCCAATTTTACCTTACCAAGAAAAAGCGTCATCTACTCGTTTTATTTAACTATTTAAACTTAAGAGTTTTTCTTAAAATTTCTAACTGCTAGAGTCTTATCAATTGAAAAGCTATATTTAGTACGCTATTAATAAAATATCTTTTAACAGCAACAATATTTCAAAACATTTATAAAAATATTATTATATGAATCATGTTTTTAATGACAAAAACATAACTGAAAGTTATCAAATCGAAACAAGTTTCAAAATTTAAAAAAGTAAATAAATAGTAAGTTTGTAAATGTGCATCCCCAAAAATTGTGATGAAAATTTCAAACAATGAATGCTAACATTACAACATTTTACTTTACGTGATCAAATAAATGAAAAATGATATCAGGCTATAGAATACGCACAGTTTTTGTCGTCGAGGTTCGTGCGCGTCAACTCCATTATTCTTTTTGTGTCTGCTGGCGAGACGGGAATAACTAATATTCCCTTGAAATTTCATTTGTTTGATTTCGTTTTTGATTTATTACCGCTACACCTTAATTCTGTATTTTTTTAGACTAATTAAACCAGTTTAAAAAAGTTGATTATATTTTGCGTTATATTTTAAGGTCCATGGCGAAGATAGCGAAAGAAGAAGATGTTGTGGGTCTGTTTCGAAATATCATGAGACCTCGGCAACTTCGATCTGAAGACATAAAGAACGGCAGGGAAAAAATACACATTCACGGTCGAGGGGAATATTCTTGCGAAAACTGTAAACACTCTTGGTTTTCGTATTTTTCCTGGATAACTGTTGATTTAATAGAAAAGAGAATTTGCAAGAGATGGATGATGAAATGCATGCATTGTTTGCAACCTGAAAAACCTCATTTCGAACTGGAGCACATCGAGTACATGATAAAGACTGCCGTAGATATGTAAGTTTATTTTGACACTTTTAATTAATGGATTTATATTTCAGACTGGTATTCAAACAGTATTTTAGAAAAGAAAAAAAAAATTAAAGCTTTTTCCCGATAGATAATTAAGGAGAGAATAATTTTACTTTTGTTAGACATAAGAAAATAAGTGTTGGGCATTAGTTTCGAAAGAAGGAATTTTCAGTGGCGATGGAAATTAACAATGGAAGTGGTGTAAGCAAATTCATATGTTTTTCGTTTTTGATGTAGCAAAGAAAGAATGATTTTCTCTTTATTGGTGTATTTCGAAAACTTAACTTTTGAACCCCTTAATTAACACTTCCTCAGAGAAAGCCTCAGCATGGTTAACTTTTGTAGGTCGACGTTAGGAATATCAACCGCACAATGGGAAGAAAATTAACAGAAAAATATGTCACAATGTCTGGACTACAAAACTGCGCAGTGGGGAGGATTAAGAAAGATGTTACAATGTTCAGACTAATTAAAGGATTGGATTTCGTGTTTATGGTAACCAGTGCTTTCCTTCTTCTAGGACATGGATGGCGAACCAATGCCACGCGTGCCATTTATGGCACGCGACGCAATATTTTGGGCACGCTACCGATCACGAAGTTCCGATATGAAGCATAATAACAATTAAATTAAAATTCACAAAAGACTGAACAATTAAAGCCAAAAAAGCAATTAATAACCATAAAAAACAAGCTAACAATAAATAACTAGCAAAAAAAAATTAACAGTCCTGCTTAAACTAACATCTTACAACCTAATATAAGTTATTTGTCATCTAATCTGCAACAACAGAAGTCACACTGATGTTACTTTAAGTTGAATTACGCGTATAACTGAGACATTGCAGAATGTTTTTTTTTTCAATGTAAATAAAGAGTTTTGAGTTGATAGTATTTTGTATTATTATTTTCCCAATAATCACGAAGTCAAAATTGTTTGACGGCACGTCTATGACCTCATTAAACAATTTTTTAGAAAAAATGGCACGTTGGTGCATAAAGGTTCGCCACCCCTGTTCTAGGATGTGTTGTCTTAACCTCGTTTCTTTTTTGTGTAGGTCGAAAAATGGCCGAAATTTTGATTGTTGATAATTAACTTTTCAAGGAAGAATCTGTTTCCACTAACACTTTCAAGTTTTTTTAAACCAGTTTGACTGTTCCTGGAAACAGTTAGGAAAACTATGTGTTCGTTGAAAGAAGAGAACATATGATCGGTTTATCAAGTTGGATATTTTTCATCGTTCTAGACCAGTGGTTACCAACTGGCGGCCTGAGGGCCGCATCCGGCTCACGAAGCCTTTTTTGTGACCCACGCACAATAATATATTAGCTGTCAAATACTTTTACTTCTTAAATAGAAACCTAATTCCTTCGTTACTGTGAAATTTAACTTGCCAATGGTGCAAAAAAATTTATTTCTCAAGTTTTGCATACAAGAAAATATTTATTCGAATACAAAAATAATCGTGTATGTTGCCCTTTTTCTATTTTTTGTTGAATATAATTTAGCATATGTGTATCAGAAATTTTCTCGAAGAAATTCTCCGATTCAACTTTTTGAAACCCTATTCATTTAGGACGAAATTATTTACAGTTGTAAATTTTGTAGCCAGAATTTTTTAATATGCACTTAAACATTTTTAAAAATCTACTTCTCATTTTAATTTGTAATTCAGTACTTTTGCTTTGCGCAACTTGATAAAAATGTGTCATTAATAATTAATGTTCCTTCAAAACATTATTAAAAACAGCAATCAAATGGCCGACCGCAACAAAATTTTATAAAGGACTATTTTATGTTAAAATAGTCCTATATAAAATTTTGATAAAGTTGCGGCCGGCCATTTGACAGCTGTTTTTAATTGCGGTTCCCAGTCTCGTGTAAGTTGGAAACCCCTGTTCTAGAGACGATTCAAATAGATTGCTGTAAATAAATAAAAAAAAAAAAACTATTGTCTTGATCTGGTCGATAAATAAATTAGATTTTTGAATACCGAACAAATACCATTATAGAGCAATCATGTCTTGTCACCAACTCGAGGGAAATTTATTTATTTTTAAGTAATATATGATAGAGAAGCTTGAAAATTGTAGAACTTAAGTTTGAAAATATATCTAACATTCGTATATGTATAGTTATTGAAAACTAATTAGAAAAGACCGTTTCTATATTTAATAAAAGAATAACTGCAATATTATTTAAAAAAAAAACTTATCGGTAAGCTCGTTTTTTTTGGGAAAATTTCTAGTTTTTCGGCATTAAATTATGGCATAAAGCTAGCAAGCAACACACAGTAGAATGATTAATATATATTATTATTGTAATTCTTTTTCATCAAAGATAATCTATATTTCATTCAAACTGTTATAAAACTCAACATCAAAATGTATAAGTTATTTGATATTTGTATGATTACTTTATTTTCATCTGAAATGGAATGATTAATTTGAATAAGGCAATAGAAAAGATAAAAAAATTATAAACAAAAACTAATCTAACATAAGATAGTAATTTTCGATTTTATATCTTATTTTATAAAGATAATACTACTACTTTATTGAGATATTTTATTTGTACTACGCAGAATTAATAGATTTATCTTTTTCATATTTTATTTTTTTCATGGGGGATTTTTTTCTTTAATTTGAGTAAGGAGATAAGGAATATCGTTATAACGGATATTTAAATCTCTAATTTTTTTATTGAATATTAGAATGGCTAGCTTTAAATACATAGTTTTTTTTTAATAATATACATACAGGGGTTGGACAAAATAATGGAAACACTTCTATACTAACACATTTTTTGATCTCTCTCAAAAAATAATTAGATAATTATTTTATAAATTTAGAAATGCTTCGGATATACGATTTCGCATACTTCTCAATAAAGTTTAAAGCTTTTAGATGTTTGAGTAAACGACAATAAATTACCAACTGAAAATAATGTTTTTGAACACCCTATGCCAAAAAGTATCGCAATAAATTTGTAATTTATAACAAATATTTTGGTTTTTATATGCGATAATTGCACTGAACTTTTAAAACCTAGTTTAAAAATTTCTGGAGATATGGACGTTTATTTGAATATCTTAAAAATTTAAAAAAATTCAAGCAATTTTCTAATTAGTTTTCGTACTTTTTAAAAGAAACTTAAAATTATAAGGGTTTTTCGAGAAATTTCATTTTGTACTGTTAAACTAGATTTATTAAAAATGTTACCGGCATTGTTTGGGGATCATCCCCATAAAAGTATATTTTTTGTTTGTTTTCTTTCCTTAAACAATTATAATTCGGTGTATGAACGTTTATTATTGTTATTCAATTTTTGATAAAATCATTTTTTTCAAAATGATTTGTTATTCAATTTTATCTTATGATATAAAAATAATATTTGTAGAAAACCCCTTATCATTTTAAGTTTGTTTTCATAAATACAAAAGCTACTTAGAAAATTGTTGAAACTTTTTTAATTTTTAAGATATTCAAATCAAATCTGAATTTCTAATTAGTTGCCAGATGCGATTTTCTACAAATTTGAGAAGAAAAAAAAATTTCGTTTTCAATTTTAGTTTAAAATCACTACTTTAATTACTCGTATCTTGCACAGTTTTAAATGAATTTTTCTCAAATTTTAAAGCAATAATTTTGTAAATAATTTTAAATTGCTCTCAAAATTCTGTTTAATTATAGAATAGTTATAAAGTTAAAGCAAAAAAACGTAAGACAAAAAATTTGCTTTTTATAAAAATGTCGGTATTTCCGTTAACATTTAAGCTAGGTTTACGACATTTGTGCATTATAACATATAATAATAAAAATAAATGCTTTAAGTTACGAATTTATTGCTACATTTTTTGGCATAGGTTGTTCAAAAACATTTTCCATTTGTAATTTACTGTCTGTCCCTCAAACCACTAAATTTTTTAAACTTCATTGATAAGTATGAGAAATCGCATTATCTAAACACTTCTGAAGTTATAAAAAATGATTCTTTAAATGTTTCTTTAGAAATATGAAGAAATGCATTAGTATCCAAGTGTTACCATTATTTTGTCCACCCCTTGATATATATTATTATTAAGGACATTACATATCTATGTCAATTTCTAATTCAAATTTTACAGAAAACATTTTATTGTGTTTTTTGTAAAAATTTAACGTGGGGTATTTTGCATTAAAATATTTCTTTTAATCACCTTACACTTGTATTATTATAGTCATACTGTCACAAAACATATACTATTGTATTATAATTCCTCATGAAAGCTAACTTTTTAGAAAATACAATTTTAATTTAAATATATAAAAAAGAAAGTCTTATTTCGTTATTATTCTGCATGTTAATCACTTCCATTTGAAAGTCTTGAGGAACTGTATCCACATCGATATTAAATGGCGAGGAAAACATTCTCATGGAAACCGCTTGAACATTTGGAATCGTAATTGAAATTCGTTGATTAAAATGTCTATATATTGTGCGTATTTTTGAGAAGTAGTAACGTTTTCTTTTTCTAAATGTGGAAGATGAGACACATTATTCTGCAAAAGATGCTGTTTCCACAATTTTAATTTGCGCTCAAAGCCCTGAATTTTATCATACAAATTGTGAATAAACTGTCCTTTGCCTTGAAGTTCCACATTAAGATCATTGAGATGCTGAGTCATGTCGATAAGAAACCCAAAATCGCACATCCATTCTTTATTACCAAAATGAGGAAAGGCGTATCCCTTCATATCCACGAACAATTGTGTTTCGCTTCTTAAGTTGTATACTCTTTTTAACATTGCACCTCTACTAAGCCAACGTACTTCGGTATTAAAAACCACGTCGCTATATTCAGTTTCTAAATCTTTCAGGAATTCTTTAAATTGATGATTTAACGCGCGCGACTTTATAAAATTGATTAGTTTAATTATTGGTACTGTGACATTTGGCAAACTCAATCTTTTCGCACTCAAATTTTCCTGGTGAATTATGCAGTG